TCATCACTCTTTTGGTTTATCAATATATATATATATATATATATATATATATATATATATATAGGTATTTCCATTAGGATTTTTGTTGCCGGTCAAATGTACGGAAATACTTTATTTTACCGACGAATTAGAAACTTACCGGTCATGTTCAATAATAATAATAATTGTGTAGCAGAGTTTCCGTTAGCAGGTAATCACCGCCTATGACCGGATATGCTTGATGAGGGGGCTCGTTTTTAAATATGCTTCAGTTTATAATCGTAACAGATCGAACATTTCAGATTAATTTTTCTAAAATGTATTCCACAAACAACATCATTATTACATTGAAACAAACTACTTATAGTAGATGAAGTACATTATTCAAAAGTTTACATTAAGTTTGAATAATAACACGGGAGGAACGGAGCCTCTCTCTCTTCTCCTGACAGCCGGTCAGTATGCAGCTCGCTAAACAGAGGCGGAGCTTCAGGTGATCATGCAGAACGGTGTGTCTCCTCAGACTCGGCAGCTGATCTGATCTCTGATCCGGTTATACTTCACTCGCGTTTATGTCCATGTCGATCAGATCCAGCTCTCCTGATCGACCTTTATAGAGCACCGATCAAATCAGGAGCGAATATCAGCCGATAATGATCGGCGGCCAATCGATCGGAGCAGCCCTAATTATTAATTATATATAAGACATTTTGACCGGCAGGTTTTGACAGTTTTTTTTTAAATCAATTTTACCAGCTAAAAAAAACGGTAAATTACCGGCTAACGGAAACCCTGATATATATAATATATATGTAGTAATTGTTGTTAAGACCACTTATAACCTTAAATCACTTTCCCATCAACTGTGCTAGTGGTACCATTGAACTGTATTGAGTTGCATAAAGGTGTGTCGGTTGTTTCGCCAGATCACATTAACATAAATGGGTTGCCTATCGGTATAACTGCACCGCATAGCTTCATATCACCATAACTTAAAACATTTGGAACATATAGATTTAGGGACAAACACAAACATCATAATACAGACTGTCCTCATTTCCTCACCAGATTAGTGAAGTAGTAACCATCCTCTCCCGTCATCAGTCTGCTGGGGTTGCTGAAGCGGGTGATGTACTGGATGTTGGACTGCAGTCTTGGAGGGTTTGCTTTCAGCACAATGTAGATGAGCGTGGGGAGGAAGTCATCCGCAGACGCAGCCTCTTTCTTGCTGATTTTGATGGCGTTGAAGATGTGCTTGCTGCAGCGAGTGATGCACGACAGCTTCTCCTTGGGCACGCGCTTTGAATCCATTTCAATCACATCTGAAATGATGCAAAGATTTGAGAAGTCGTTTAATCTGAAAATGTTAGCGGATCTCTATTGCCAAAATAACAACGTGTTGTCCTTCTGTAAAAAACGTACCTGTGATGGCTTTGACTACACTGTCGGACACCTCAGCGATTTCCTCTTCTACAGGAACACACAGCATCTCAATGGTGACCCAATGCAAGGCTCTGTAACAGAACTCCATAACGTAAGAAAAGGTTGCAATTTCACCTGCAATTGTATTCTTGTGCTCAGGAGGGATGCCGGAAAAATGAATAATGAGTAGCAAAATTAGGAATAATACATCATCGTGTTTGCTAACCTGATTCTCTTCTGAATGGCAAGGTCTTTCTTCTCATCGTCTGTAGTCTCAGGACAGAAGACTTCTTTGTAAAGACGAGTCATCATGTACTTCTCTACTTCATCCATAACACTCTCTACATGATCTGATGAACCTAGGAACGGAGGCACATAAATCAAAGATATACAGAGCTTATTACAGTGCTAATGTTACTGATATTAATTATTTATATTCTACTGAAATGTAAGAGTTAGGCAGTACCTTTGAATTGGGTGTGGAGGCGGTCTGAGAGATTCTGGTAGAAATCCTGCACACACTCTGACAGCTCATCAGCTGCCATGTCCTGAGCAAATAGAAAGGAAAGATTCAGATTACATTCGTTTGAATATCAACTTAAAATACTGTAATGGTACAGGGATAGACATTTAAACCTAGCCCACATATGACACAGTAATACAATATGTAGCACAACATTTTAACCATGTTATTAGTTTAAATGGTGCAATTTCAGACTATTTTAAATGTTAACATAATGACAACTCCTTCAATGATGGAAGGTGCAAAAATCCCAATTTTATATTTACAAAAACTTGTTTTCACTTTGATACAAATGTGTGACAGTTGGTGTTGCACAGTGAACAGTATAATAATTAACACTGGTGGAGAGTAGACACATGGTACAATCCCAAATGACTTGAAAATCTTTATTGCTAACATTGCTGTACTTGAACAAAATCAAAAGTAATTTGTTAACAGGTTGTCTATATTTGCAAAACTAATCATACATAAGGATTAAATGGTTCCTACAAGCTCATTAAACTCATAAACATGATGAGTAATCCACTCTAGCTCACCCGCTTATAGACCATGCTCTCAGTGAAGGCCCGGCACTGTTTGAAGATCTCCCTGCCAGACTTCAGAGGCTTGAGGAAATCAATGAACTCTCTCGTCGCATGGTCACTGTCCACAGAGGAGTGCCGGCTCGTGGAGGAGCTGGGGCTTGAGCTGGAGTGAGCATCAAAAGGAGAATCTGGGAAAATACATTACATTACTTTAATTAAAGCTACAAACTCCTAAAGCATTTCTCCTAATATCTCTTCTGCCACATTGTCTTCATTGTATTTAAAAAAAAACTCTGAGTAGAGGATCAAGGTACTAATCCAGGGATGGGGTTAAAATGGAAAAACAAACAGCAAAAATATTGGTTGTATGTTGTTCTCATGTTTTTAAGGTTAACAGGTCAGAGGACATCAGCCTAGAATACAACATTAATATTACCACAAGTTAAAAGTTTGATAAATGACATGTATCAATTGCAGTTAATTATGTACCTTTTTTTGGTGGTGTTTTTGAGGAGGGAGTAAAAAACTTTGTAACTGTGTTACTTTGACTTTTCCTTAGTTTTCTTTCCACGAACTTGCCAAAGGGTGTGATGGTAGGCTGTGATTGGGCCTTTTGATTTCTGCTTGTGTATGCTTCCTCTTCCTCTTTTTGCAGCCTGGGGGGAAGAAGACAGAGTAACTGCAGTATTGTTCAAATGGAATGACAAATGATGGGATAAAGGAACAAAAGACACTGTACTTCGGGATCACAGAGAGACAGACGAACCTTTCAGCAAGTGCCCAGTCTTCTTTAATCTGATTTTGCTTTTCTCGTTGATTCTCCTCTCGCCAGCACTTTGAGCACAGGCCCTGCCAGCCAGTGTTGCCATAAAAACCACATCCTTTTGTGCAAAGCAGCTCTGATTGGTCCAGATGGATCCCACGCCGCTGGCTCATCATCCTTAGAAGTTAAAACACTGCTGGGGCCACAAGAAGACAGACAACTTTAAAAACAAAAAACAAACGTGAGTGCCAACAGCAATGAAGTGTAAAAAGGAGAATTGTCGTGTATAGAAAAATAAAAAACCCGCTGATTTTTAATCCATGTAATGTGCCACTCATGATTGAATCTACTGCATTGACTGGTTAACTATCATTAACTAAGCTAAGTCCAAAACCCACCACAGTCGTTAACCAAAACCGGCGAAAATCTACAGTAGTTTTATTGTAGCATGGCCAACCTAGGCCCTGACGGCTTTAACTTGATTTATTTTTTTAGACACAATACATCCAGTAAAACAGAATGTCTCTAGTTGTGATGACCTGTTAGCATTAGCCTATCTGACAGCTTTCTCAGTTACAGCAACTCAATAACTGAATATACTTTCAAAACAGCGTTGTCTTAAAACATACCATCCTGAAAGATGTTATAATGTTTTGTAACGCTACACAAGCATGTCCACAGAAGTGTTACTCAACAACGCAATATACAAGCTAATCTGCAGCTAGCTACCAGTGTTTACCTGTGCTAATTACATAGCTAACTTAGCGAACTACATGAATCAACGATTTGTTAATACACGTGCATAAGTGTCTACGTGAGTTTTGTGTCAAGATACACTCTCATTCACAGTGTGACGAAGCTATCGCGTAACGTTATCGTCGCTCCAGCTCCAGTCTAATGTAGGTGGATGTTTACATTAGCCGAGCAGCTAGCTTCGTCCCTCAGCCATTTTGTCTGTCAGTTCTTCTTCTTCTTCTTCTTCTGTTGTTTTAACGGCGGATGGCAAACAGCTTTTAGGTGCATTTACCGCCACCTTCTGGAATGTAGTGCAGATCAGCAGAGAAGCACGGTATAATGGTCCTTTTAAAATAAAATAAAATACTGCCCTGTATGCTACATCCCCTGAACTCCTTAGCGAAATCTATTTTATATTTGCTAAAAACGGTCTTGCTGGTATTTTGGACATTGCAAATAAAGTGTTTCAATATTCACATTTGCCTGATGCATTTTTTTATAAAGAACAAAAATGCTATTTAGAGCTTTGTGACCAAATCTCATTCTGGAAATTATGTCCTACCTATAGGAAAAAGAGCTATTTGTTTTGCTCTCGTTGACTTCTCTTGTGTCTGTCTTGTTTCTCCTAAATTGTTTATTGTATTATATCTAAACTGTATTCAAACCAAGTACTTTGACTGAAAATAAGTGCCTTAAATGTTTGTAAATGACATTTAAAAAATAATAAGTTGTTTGTCCTTTTTAGTATGTCACAATGCAGGTGGTATTGCCCTCTAGCGTTTCCACATTGCAATTCCACCTTATTATTACTGTGGTGGAATACTTTGACTTTAAGATAGAAAAGGAGATGGAGCTAGCAGAAAGATGTTCTCTGGGTAACACTGTTTAGTTGAACTGGTCGACATTTCTTCATCATAAATCTATTGAAGTTGTGTGACAAACGACTTTGATGCTGTCATGTTCAAATGTGTTTGTTGGGTATTAAGCTGGTGTTGTGGATAATCGACCACAGGAGGGCTCCAGTCAGAGAGCACAGACTCATCAGATGGTTTTAAATGTATTTACTTATCAGGACATGGATGGTACATACGGTACATCATGTTGTTGTACATGCACGAATAATAGACCTAAGAGAATAATTGGGGAATTGAAGGGATTGGGGAAATGGAGAAGTTATCATCAGTGACTGCGAAAGCATGAACATATTAATAAGTATGAACGGCTCAAACAGAAACAACCTGCATAACAAAATAATAGCCCATTTCAAATAAGACCATCTGAACATGAAGAATTCTTAACAGTGTTGTAGATAATATATGTGTCAATGTGCATGAGGTAGGGAGACTTAATCCTATTTTTAATAAGAATTCAGGAGATTGACTTAACAGTATTCATGTTTATTGGAATAAGAAAATGTCACAGTGCAACAATGTTGCTCATTGAATGGAGAATGAAAATACATCAAGCTTGTCTAAAAGTTGTTGGTATATCAGTTCTGTTCTTCTGACAGGATTTGTGACAGTAATATAAATACAATATTACCAGCACATGAAACATGATTCATGTTGAAAAGCAGTCCTGAAAGCAGTGATTTTGGGTTTCACTGTTTGCAGAGAGTTTCTCAAGAGGAGCAGAATAACTGCTCTTTCGCACTAATACTGATGATGCATTTTGGACAGAGGAAAAGGTAAATGATGAAATGCTCATCATTCATTATTTAGCAATTTCACTCAAATCACAATTTTTTCACCTGAGCATAAAAAAGTAATTCTTTAAAAATATATAATTTATTAACACGCTTTATTTCCATTTAAACTCATTTTATTAAAGCATAAAAAACCGAAAACCTCAATCATCTTATTAATTAAAATAATAAATAAATCAACTAACAAATTATTATTGGTTTTAACAACCAAGCAGAAGACCCCCATATTAAGTAATTAAAATGAACACGGATTTGAACTAAATATGGTTTCTTAACTGGGAAAACATTATACAATTTGCAGACATGTTACTATATACAATTGTAAAAAAGCTTATAGAAAAAGTACCTTTGGCAGACAGCCTTTTCCTATTGGGCAGCACATATACAGTAGGTATACCCACAGCACTAAGGAACATTCTTTAACTCTTTTTCCAAATCTGTATAACTGGACAATCAAATGTGAATGAATGAAAACTTTATTACAGACTCAGGGTCCAGATAAAAGACAAGACATTACATATAATAAATTACATACACAGCATAAAAGAATTCATAATTTAAATCAGTGTCCTACAAAGAGACAACCATACCAATGTTCTCCACAGCTGGGATTGGTAGCGTGTAGTACTAACCTTATGTTCGATAAGGCCAAGAGGATTCATTATCACAGTCATTAAGCCGGCAAATACATTTATACATAAGATTTCTTAAAACCAGCTTGTAGAGTATTGACTCCTGCAGCCACAAACATTTCACTTGCACTAGACCATCGAGGTCTCTTCAGCAATATTCTCATGGTCATCATTATAAGCTACTTGACGTTTCCGTAAACTTGCTTTTCTGTAGTTTGACCACAAATGTGCCGTATAGAGCGGTGTGCAATATGCTCTGAACAGAGACATCTTCACTCCATCTGTACATGCACCAAACTTACGTAAGAGAATGTTTGCTTGTGCATACATCATGCGGCATTGCCTATAAATATATTCATCATCTGTCATTTGTTCTGTAATAAAGTGTCCAAGATATTTTACTTTATTACAGACACTAAGATTAATTATCAGACAATTTAAAATCAGGAAATTTCAGACATTTATCCTCTGGTTCTAAAGTCATGGACAGCACTCTTACTGGCGTTGTATTTGATGTCATGTTCCACACCATACACAGAACAAACAGCAAGAAGCTGCTGAAGACCAGCGCTAGATGGACTCAGCACAACAAGATCATCTGCATACATAATATGGTTCACTAGAGTGCTACCAATCATGCATCCAGTATTACAGGCTTTCAGTCGCTTGGACAGATCATCAATATAGAGGTTAAAAAGAACTGGGGACATAATTCCACCTTGTCTGACACCATTGCTAAACCCCAAATGGGGCTGAGACCCCTATTGCCCCATTTGACTTGCATAGTCTGGTGGCCATACCAGTAGACCAGAATTCTCACAATGTATTTGGGCACCCCTCTTTGACTCAGTTTAACAAATAACTTCCTATGATTAACACGATCAAAGGCTTTAGAGGCATCCATGAAACACATAAGAACTGATGAGTTATTACCTCTATATTTGTTGACAATTTCCTTTAAGGCAATTTCCTTTATACACAAGTCAGTGCCATGTTTAGCCTTAAAGCCAAACTGGTTATCTGTTGAGTTAATAAAGTCATCTAATCTGTCCAGCAGAATTCTTTCTAGGACTTTTGACAGTATGCTGGCTAACGCTATGGGCCTATAGTTATCTAGGCTTCCCACTTTACCGGCTTTGTCCTTAATAACTGGCACCAACAGAACAGACAACATTGAGTCTGGTAACAAGCCATGACTCATAAAGGCAGTAAAGCAGATAGAAAGAAGAGGAGCTATCTTTACACTAGCATATTTAAGATGTTCAGCAGAAATATGATCTACACCACTGGCTTTGTTGTCCGACAGCTTGTTTATAGCTTGGCATACCTCATGTGGCATTATCACCATTGACTCATTGTTATCAATATCATCTACCCTATACAGTTCACTTTGGACACAGTTGAATAAGGTACAATAATGCTGTCGCCATAACTCCACAATGTTGACTGTTCCAGATGTTCCGTCAACAGTGCATGGTAGAGATATTTGCATTTATTATTAGCCCTTACTTCTTTCCAAAAATCCATAACATTGTTACTTAGCAGCTTCTTAGCCATGGAATCGGCCCTCATGGCTTGCTCATTTTTACAGATGAAGCGAATAGCATACTTGTATCTTGCATTAGTAAGCTTCTTGTACTCAAATACAGACCCTTGTCTGGGTCTGCCTGCCATAGCCCATGATTTGGTGGCTTCACAGGCTTCAGCATGATACTCAGCTACATACCTATTCCAGCCAGACCTGATGTTATGTGTCTTATTGTTACTTTTGTAGTAAGGTTTACTGCCTTCATATAGAGCACTTACTATATCATTGTACATGGAGCAGATATCACTCCTATGCTTTGCATCCTTACAGTTAACATCACTACACATAATTGCATCTCTAGGTAGATGAATATTAGTTAAGGATGTATCTGTCTGAGCATAATAGGATGTAATGTCTTCCTTTGTGAGGGTTGACCAGTCTAGTTTTTCGGTTTGAGCACTATTTACATTTCTGGTTAGCCCAGGTAGATGTTCGACATTTATTGACATAGCAACAGGTATATGATCAGTCTTTGCTGTCCCATACAGAATGCTCATACATTCAAGTGAAGCATGCGCATCAGCTGTACTAATACAATGATCAAGCCATGACGTAGTAGGCCTATGCCAGGCCTCGCTAATGTAGGTATAACTATCTGCAGGCAAAAGCACCTTGCTTGACAATATAAAATTGTTATCTTGACAGAACTGAGCCATATGCTTGGCAAATATGCTGTCATAAACTGGACTAGTGTTCATATCACATGTTTTCATACTCTGTGCATACTTGCTCTATCTCTTTGCGATAGTGTGTCTGTTGTGGGGTTTTTAAGGGCTTCAGTTACAAGTTTGAATGACTTGTTACAAGATTGTTCAAGTTCATGGTGATACTGTGTTATTTTAATTAAACCATCAGCGATTATGGGCCCTTATTATCTGGCACATTTTGTTAACATAATTGTTCAGAAAACATAAAACTATCTTGCAGATTTCAAACTATAGCATTTAAAAAAAACTTCACTAAACACACCCGTTCTGGCAGGGATATTCAACACGTTTTAAATGCCACACAACATTAAATCCTTCACTCCACACGTTGTCTATGTTCATGTGCATGCATGCAAACTGAACATTGTAAACTGTATTACGTCTACAACTATCCAATGACGATTGGATAGCATTTGTGGGTTGAGCCACACATTGAATCTCAGTCCTGTGCGGAACTGATCATGCAAAGTAGGAAACGTCTCCTCTCCACCAGTTTACGCACCCGCACCTCCCTGTACACAGGCTGTGGAAACTGTGGAGCGCATAACGTGTAACTTGCCGTGTGTTGCGCCAATTTTGAGAAATGGCAGGTAAGAGTTCACGGTCTAAATTAACTTTAAAAGTAACTTTTGTGCATTTGCCGGAAATATGGAGGCGATCGCAAGCGTAATGTACCCGATCTGTTTTTACTGTAAGTGGCATTGAGGGCAATGAGGAGGGTAGAGGTGAGGAATGTGATTTCATACATTTAAATTAATCTACAAATTCTGTCAAAGTAAAGTTTGAGTAATTCTGCATTTTTTTGTGTTTCCCAGGAAATTGATGCTGCTGTGATTGAGTTCTCCAAACATAAGAAATTGAAAGAGACAGACAGTGTGGTGGTGGTGATCATGTCTCATGGGAAACTGGGAGCTGTCCTCGGTGTTAAGTGGAAAAAAGACAAACCTGATGAGTTTTGCATCAACAACATTTACCATCACTTGGGTCCAGAGAGATGTCCCGCGCTGCTGGACAAACCCAAGATCATCCTCATCCAGGCCTGCAGAGGAGGTCTCCTCTATTCCCCCGATACAACAAATCAATATCATTTAATTTAGCAGTCAGCTAATGTCTGGTTTACTGTCTTTGAGTGAGTGGTGCTCTCATGCAGTGTATTAACAGTATTCCGCATGTGTTTCAGAAAAGAGAGGATCAGTGCTGGTTAAAGACGGTTTGTCCTGTGACGATGCCTCACATAATACTGGCCATGAAGAATTTGAGGAGGATGGTGTGCGATATGTAAACAAAGGAAAATATGTCCTTGCTCTTCTGTCCTGCACTCCCGGTCAGTTAATTAAAAATGTTTTCAGATGTAACAGTGATTATTATTATTATTATTATTATTATTATTAAAGCTTAATGTTTTTCTACAGATACTGTCTCATACAGACAAACAGATTGTGGGTCTCTTCTCATCCAGTATTTTGTGGAGGTATTGAACACCTCTGCACACATGGATGACATTGAAGAACTTTTCAGAAAAGTAAGTGGAAAGTATAGCCTTTTGTGAGGCAAACACCACCTAACAAGCAGTAATACTGATGCTCTGGGTTTATTTGTTTTGTTAATTTCATACACTGTTAGTTTGAAACATACAGGTCATGCAACGTTTCGAGGACTTTTCCGTGAACAACAAAAGACAGATGCCGACCAAAGACAGAGTCACTCTGACAAGGCGCTTCTACTTCTTTCCAGGCATCTGAGGCCGGATTTACTGTCGTTTCCCTGTTGTGCCTGGTAGCCACATTATATGCATGCAATAGAGTTAATCAAATTAAATAGAAACATTCTTATGGATGAATTACTGAATGGGCCTAACAAGTACAGGGCAAAGGGTTAAAGGGGCAGGGCAAAACAGACTGCTAAGAGACGCATGGCAAATGAAGAGATGTAAACTGACTTTCTTTTACTAAAGGTAAAAGGCTCTTTTAAAGTAGGGCCTTTTACATGTCTGTGTCCTGGGGCATTTCGTCTAATTGTTAATATTTGATGAAATCTTATCATTTATCAATATCATAATTTATACTTTTATATAATTGGTTGTGTGAAAGCCTTTTAATGAAAGGGACACAAGTGGTGGCATTTATTAACCATGCAGGGACTATTTTAGGGACTTAAGGTGCATAATTAATCTCACTTAAGCCTTTTTTTGGAACATAGGTACAATATTCATATGGAATGGGTATTTACTTTTTATGGTTTGTATTAATTTTGTCTATGTTTTAAAATACAAATAAACTCTACTATCTCTAAATTGTGTCCTTACTTGAGTAGGACATCAACATTCAGCACAAACATGGTTTTCTTTAACAAACAGGTTGGGAATGTCTGCGGTTGTGGGTCACACAATGTGAATAAACCTAAACAAAGTAAAGCCCTGGGCTTTTGGCTACATGAACATGTAGCCAAAAGCATTTAACATGGTCAAATAACAACATAAAGTTCAGACTTAGTCATGTCTTTATTCAAACTAAACCCCATTAATGTAAATAAAGTGAAATGGGAATTTTCAGCCTATATTTCCCAGTTAACCTTCTTAGTAAAAAAAAAAAGCCATCTTGATGTAACAGAATTGACCCACAGGAAATACCCCATCTTTTGAATTCAGAAATATATACATCTCTCAACATTTTTGATGACCCTTGAACCACGCCCAGTGCTTGCACTCAGCTGATTGTTCATAAAACATAAAACTATCTTGCAGATTTCAAACTATAGCATTTTTTAAAAAATCAGTAGGACACACCCTTTCTGGCAGGGATATTCAACACGTTTTAAATGCCACACAACATTACATTCTTCTCTCCACACATTGACCTAGATGTTAATGTATTGTAGAGCAAACTGAACATTTTAAACTGTATTATGTCTACAACTATCCAATGACGACTGGATCGCAGTTGTGGGTTGAGCCACACATTGTACAACTGCAGCAGTAATAAAACTCAGTCCTGTGCAGAACTGATCATGCAAAGTAGGGAAACGTCTCTTCTCCACACGCACCTCCCTGTACACAGGCTGTGGAAACTGTGGAGCGCATAACGTGTAACTTGCCGTGTGTTACGACCATTTTGAGAAATGGCAGGTAAGAGTTCACGGTCTAAATTAACTTTAAAAGTAACTTTTGTGCATTTGCCGGAAATATGGAGGCGATCGCAAGCGTAATGTACCCGATCTGTTTTTTACTGTAAGTGGCATTGAGGGCAATGAGGAGGGTAGAGGTGAGGAATGTGATTTCATACATTTAAATTAATCTACAAATTCTGTCAAAGTAAAGTTTGAGTAATTCTGCATGTTTTTTACCGTAGCGTGTGCTGGCAAGTATAGGCCTGTTAGTTTCACTTTGCTGGCGCTCATATCCGTCCTATTTTCTGCCTTTGTTTGTCCATATAAAACATGCATTGAAAATAAAACAATACCATTTAGCCTTTTTATGTATAACTAATTTCGATCAATCAGCTTTTTGTATAACATATAACTTTGTGGTAATGACTTTACCACATTTATATCAGTGATAATATGCTATTGTATGCTTATTCAATGTTAGTGGCCTGTATAGCCATCAGGCTGCACAACCAGGGGTTAACAATGTAACCCATTTAAAAAGTAACCCGTACTGCACAATGACTTTGACCTACACTAGTACACAGACATACATGTACATATATATATTTTTGCCTACATATGGGTCGTTGTTAGTCCATATGTAAAACATACAATGAAAATAAAACAATACAATTTAGCCTTTTAATGTATAACTAATTTCGACCAATCAGCTTTTTGTATAACTTTGTTGTAATGACTTTACCACATTTATATCCGTGACAATATGCTATGGTATGTTTATCAATGTTAGTGGCCTGTAGCCATCAGGCTGCACAACAGGGGGGTTAACAATGTAACTTGTTTGCCTCTTCTAGATGAGCTGAAAAAGATTAGGGTTAAGTTTGTGGATAGCGCAAACAAAGAACTGATCAAGGAGCTCCTGGATGGCCTTTTAGAGGTTGGTGTCTTGAATGATGGCCAGAAGGACTCAATTCTTGAGGAGAATCCTAGCACGAAAGACAAGGCACGTGCTCTCATTGACACAGTTAGGAGAAAAGGAGGTGATGCCAGCAGGAAGATGATCGCTCTCCTTCAAAGCAGAGATCAAACACTTATGATTCACTCGGTCTTTCCTCTGGGAAACCTGCTCAGCCAGGTGAGCAGACACAGTTCAGCTGTAGAGACATCTTCACCCTATTTAGATTCAAACTAATATTATACTTTGACATTAATGTACATCGTTGTGAGCAGAAATGTTTTGCTGTTTGCAGCTGCAGCTCCAGAAATAAAGCTGGAGCAGGAATGTTCAGACACTCTGATTCCTTCCACCAAGGCCTTCTGGACAGGGAAACAGGGTCAAAGAGATGTAAGTTGTTCATAAAAGCTGTGTCAGGTGTTTTTTAATTGATGTCTTGTTCAATTCTACACTTGATATATCATCAGATATACAGTATAGTACATTTTCATCTTAATTATTTTCTTTTAAATTTGTTTTTCAGACTTACCCTGCGGCCGAAAATTCCATTAGGCATCGTTTGGCCCTGTTAATCACCAACATAACGTTTACTGATACCAGTTTAAACAGAAAGGGAGCTGAGAGGGACGAGGAGAACATGGACACACTGCTCGTTGCATTGGGATACGAAGTGGTGAAACTCACTGACCTCACGGGAAAGGTAATTTGACAAAAATAGATTCATCCCCTGTCTGGTTGATTAAGCAATACTGAAACTGATGTCTGAGTTTTTTGTGTTTCCCAGGAAATTGATGCTGCTGTGATTGAGTTCTCCAAACATAAGAAATTGAAAGAGACAGACAGTGTGGTGGTGGTGATCATGTCTCATGGGAAACTGGGAGCTGTCCTCGGTGTTAAGTGGAAAAAAGACATACCTGATGAGTTTTGCATCAACAACATTTACCATCACTTGGGTCCGGAGAGATGTCCCGCGCTGCTGGACAAACCCAAGATCATCCTCATCCAGGCCTGCAGAGGAGGTCTCCTCTATTCCCCCGATACAACAAATCAATATCATTTAATTTAGCAGTCAGCTAATGTCTGGTTTACTGTCTTTGAGTGAGTGGTGCTCTCATGCAGTGTATTAACAGTATTCCGCATGTGTTTCAGAAAAGAGAGGATCAGTGCTGGTTAAAGACGGTTTGTCCTGTGACGATGCCTCACATAATACTGGCCATGAAGAATTTGAGGAGGATGGTGTGCGATATGTAAACAAAGAAAAAGATTTCCTTGCTCTTCTGTCCTGCACTCCCGGTCAGTTAATTAAAATTGTTTTCAGATGTAACAGTGATTATTATTATTATTATTATTATTATTATTAAAGCTTAATGTTTTTCTACAGATACTGTCTCATACAGACAAACAGATCGTGGGTCTCTTCTCATCCAGTATTTTGTGGAGGTATTGAACACCTCTGCACACATGGATGACATTGAAGAACTTTTCAGAAAAGTAAGTGGAAAGTATAGCCTTTTGTGAGGCAAACACCACCTAACAAGCAGTAATACTGATGCTCTGGGTTTATTTGTTTTGTTAATTTCATACACTGTTCGTTTGAAACATACAGGTCATGCAACGTTTCGAGGACTTTTCCGTGAACAACAAAAGACAGATGCCGACCAAAGACAGAGTCACTCTGACAAGGCGCTTCTACTTCTTTCCAGGCATCTGAGGCCGGATTTACTGTCGTTTCCCTGTTGTGCCTGGTAGCCACATTATATGCATGCAATAGAGTTAATCAAATGAAATAGAAACATTCTTATGGATGAATTACTGAATGGGCCTAACAAGTACAGGGCAAAGGGTTAAAGGGGCAGAGCAAAAAAGACTGCTAAGAGACGCATGGCAAATTAAGAGATGTAAACTGACTTTCTTTTACTCTTGGTGTTTGGCTCTTTTAATTAAAGTAGGGCCTTTTACATGTCTGTGTCCTGGGGCATTTCGTCTAATTGTTAATATTTGATGAAATCTTATCATTTATCAATATCATAATTTATACTTTTATATAATTGGTTGTGTGAAAGCCTTTTAATGAAAGGGACACAAGTGGTGGCATTTATTAACCATGCAGGGACTATTTTAGGGACTTAAGGTGCATAATTAATCTCACTTAAGCCTTTTTTTGGAACATAGGTACAATATTCATATGGAATGGGTATTTACTTTTTATGGTTTGTATTAATTTTGTCCATGTTTTAAAATACAAATAAACTCTACTATCTCTAAATTGTGTCCTTATTGGAGTAGGACATCAACATTCAGCACAAACATGGTTTTCTTTAACAAACAGGTTGGGAATGTCTGCGGTTGTGGGTCACACAATGTGAATAAACCTAAACAAAGTAAAGCCCTGGGCTTTTGGCTACATGAACATGTAGCCAAAAGCATTTAACATGGTCAAATAACAACATAAAGTTCAGACTTAGTCATGTCTTTATTCAAACTAAACCCCATTAATGTAAATAAAGTGAAATGGGAATTGTACAACTGCAGCAGTAATAAAACTCAGTCCTGTGCAGAACTGATCATGCAAAGTAGGGAAACGTCTCTTCTCCACACGCACCTCCCTGTACACAGGCTGTGGAAACTGTGGAGCGCATAACGTGTAACTTGCCGTGTGTTACGACCATTTTGAGAAATGGCAGGTAAGAGTTCACGGTCTAAATTAACTTTAAAAGTAACTTTTGTGCATTTGCCGGAAATATGGAGGCGATCGCAAGCGTAATGTACCCGATCTGTTTTTACTGTAAGTGGCATTGAGGGCAATGAGGAGGGTAGAGGTGAGGAATGTGATTTCATACATTTAAATTAATCTACAAATTCTGTCAAAGTAAAGTTTGAGTAATTCTGCATTTTTTTACCGTAGCGTGTGCTGGCAAGTATAGGCCTGTTAGTTTCACTTTGCTGGCGCTCATATCCGTCCTATTTTCTGCCTTTGTTTGTCCATATAAAACATGCATTGAAAATAAAACAATACCATTTAGCCTTTTTATGTATAACTAATTTCGATCAATCAGCTTTTTGTATAACATATAACTTTGTGGTAATGACTTTACCACATTTATATCAGTGATAATATGCTATTGTATGCTTATTCAATGTTAGTGGCCTGTATAGCCATCAGGCTGCACAACCAGGGGTTAACAATGTAACCCATTTAAAAAGTAACCCGTACTGCACAATGACTTTGACCTACACTAGTACACAGACATACATGTACATATATATATTTTTGCCTACATATGGGTCGTTGTTAGTCCATATGTAAAACATACAATGAAAATAAAACAATACAATTTAGCCTTTTAATGTATAACTAATTTCGACCAATCAGCTTTTTGTATAACTTTGTTGTAATGACTTTACCACATTTATATCCGTGACAATATGCTATGGTATGTTTATCAATGTTAGTGGCCTGTAGTAACAATGTAACTTGTTTGCCTCTTCTAGATGAGCTGAACAAGATTAGGGTTAAGTTTGTGGATAGCGCAAACAAAGAACTGATCAAGGAGCTCCTGGATGGCCTTTTAGAGGTTGGTGTCTTGAATGATGGCCAGAAGGACTCAATTCTTGAGGAGAATCCTAGCACGAAAGACAAGGCACGTGCTCTCATTGACACAGTTAGGAGAAAAGGAGATGATGCCAGCAGGAAGATGATCGCTCTCCTTCAAAGCAGAGATCAAACACTTTATGATTCATTCGGTCTTTCCTCTGGGAAACCTGCTCAGCCAGGTGAGCAGACACAGTTCAGCTGACATTGAATAACTTTTCAGAAAAGTAAGTGGAAAGTATAGCCTTTGTGAGGCAAACACCACCTAACAAGCAATACTGATGCTCTGATTTGTTTTGTTAATTGCATACGTTTGTTTGAAACATACAGGTAATGCAACGCTTTGAGGACTTTTCCGTGAACAACAAAAGACAGATGCCGACCAAAGACAGGGTCACTCTGACAAGGCGCTTCTACTTATTTTTTACTTTTTATGGTGTGTATTAATTGTTTCCATTTTTTAAAATACAAATAAACTTTACTATCTCTAAATTGTGTCCTTACTTGAGTAGGACACCAACATTCAGCACTCATGTTGTTTTTAAATAGTTTTCTTTAACAAACAGGTTGGGAATGTCTACTGTTGTGGGTCACACAATGTGAATACACCTAAACAAAGTAAATCCCTGGGCTTTTAGCTATGAACATGTAGCCAAAAGCATTTAACATGGTCAAATAACAACATAAAGTTCAGATTAATCGTGTCTTTATTCCATCTAAACCCAATTAATGTAAATGCAGGTCTCCCTTGAAAAAGAGATCTATGATCTCAATGGGACCAATCTGGTTAAATAAAGGTTTGAAAATAAAGTTAAATGTGCATTTTCAGCCTATATTCAACCTTCTTAGTAAAAAAAAGCCATCTTGATGTAACAGAATTGACCCACAGGAAATACCCCATCCTTTGAATTCAGAAATATATACATTTCTCAAATTTTTTGAAGACCCTTGAACCACGTTAACCCAGCTCATGAACTCAGTGTTTTTCAGTCATCTTGAACCAGGGCTGGACTGGGACAGCAAATCGGCCCTGGCATTTAGACCCAGACCGGCCCAAATCCATAAAACAAACGAATAGTAGCGGTTCCTGACAAGAAGAATAACTGAGTATAATTTAAAAAAACGCTATTATTATCCTTTTTACGTACCAGGGGCAAACTAAACTAATACATACAACAAGTATGTGTAACTATCAATCATTAGAAATTAGACCTTCAAACCCTCTCACAAAGCGAACAGTGACCGAGCAGGGCGGTCTGATAGTGGTGGAGGCGGGGAGGGAGCGGATCAACAGCTTGAGCAGCTGTCAACTCAACATTGTAAATAACCAACCAAAAACGATCACCGGTTCATCTTGTTTTTGGCGTGAGAATAGTTTGGGCAGCGTGAGAGCGTGAGATTGATAGTGAAAGCGTGTTTCACACGCTAGATGCGTGAGAGTTGGCAACCCTGGTTTACCTGCTGCAGGTGGGGCCAACCAGTTATACAAGAGGGAGATAATAGCTGTACTCATTTTTGAATGAGCCACATGCCATGATGCAACAACTTCAGACTTCCTTACAGAGCCACTCCTCCAACACACACGAACGTGCACATGACCAATGAGGGCATGAGATAAGTTTGTGCACAGATGGAAGGCTGACAGGCAGGTAGGCCAACCCAAGTTCCCATCAGCAAAAACACGTGAGTTTGCTATCCTGGCTCCAAAATGGTGGAATGAGCTCCCCATTGAAATCAGGACAGCAGAAAGCCTACACATCTTCCAGACTGAAAACTCATCTCTTTCGACTCCACTTCGAGCGATAGAATTACTAACAAAGCACTTATATACTAATAAAGGACTGGCTTATCTAAAGCCAGTTGAGTAGCACTTGAAATGTTTGGCTCTATGAAACCTGATGTACTTATATGATTCTGTTTTCTTCAAGGTTGTGTCTTCCTGGTGGAACGGACTTATTGTAAGTCGCTTTGGATAAAAGCCTCAGCTAAATGCAATGTAATGTAATGTCTGGGGGGGTATGCCCCCCCCAGAAGAAAAGTTTTAAAAATAACCCCTTAAATGATGACTTCTAGTGAATTTAGGGTGGGGGGGGGACCCTATAGTGCCCTGCCTGCCTCCCCTTTCTATGACAACACAATAGAGATAGGACCAGATGAGTCTACAGGATGAGTCGACGGCATCTTTTCTTGGGCTTGTTTCTCCCACAGAATGACCCTCTGATATGACTCCCTGATAAACACTGCTATGTCATTGATTAGGTTGAAAAGTGTTCCACATTCGATGACAGTTTGGGTAGTTTCAGCCAGGACAAGATTAAGAACATGAGCATAGCACCACACATGGACATGAGTGGGTGACTGGGAGGTCATCAGTGCAGAAAATCCTTTATACCGGCCTTGCATATTGGATGCTCCATCTGTTGCATTACCTATACACATGCCCTTGTCCAGTTTCAGATGCTCTAAGACCTCTGAGAGTAAGTTCACAAAGTATTGTCCAGTGGATGCATGGCACTTCACTAAAGCCACAAGCCTCTCTTGCACAGTCTCATTGACATATTTTAAGATTACTGAACACTGATCCTGAGAAGTTATGTCTTGTATTGTGTCCAGCTGAACAGAAAACATTCCGGCCTTCTGGACATCACTGGAGATACTTTCTTTGATTAGACTACCAACAGTTTCTATTATGGAGTTAACAGTAGTTTTGGAGAGTAGGGTGATGAGAGACCCTCTACCTTTTGTTCCACTGGATTGGTGCAATTTCTTGCTCTTCTCTACACAATCATCCAGATGCTCTTTTAAGCAGACATCATACTTTCCTAATAAAAGGATGAGCTCCAAAAAGTTACCGTGGTCCACGGTGTTGTCAGCTAGCATATATGCTCCCTCATTCTCCACCTGCCTGCACTTTCACCACACGCTCCAAAACCTGACGTCTCTTTCAGACTTGTTCCCTATGAGCAGACATCTGACTGCCAGCAAACATGCTTTCGATGTCTGCTTTAGAGCACCGTAAGAAAAAAGCGTCAGCACAGGTTGAATGTGTAATGCTCTTTTCGTGCTCCTCTGTACGCTGGTGTGCGTGCCTCCAATCTGACATTCCAGTTATAAATGTGCCAGTGTCGGTCCTCTTCCCAAATGCCAGACATACAAAACAAAACAACATATGACGTCCCTTGCAATATGTAAGCCACTTTCTGCTGGTGCCATCTTTACAGGTGAATACCTTCTGCACAACTGGATTTCTGGTATGTTGTTGTGGGTGCTGTTCTAAAAACACATTCTCGGGGCGGGCAAAGTAATCTATGTCCTCCTGCTCTTTGCTCTCCTCACTCTCGCTGACACTCTCCTCCTCTGGGGATGCTACCTGGCTCAACACAATGATACAGAATGAATGGATTCCCTGATAGAGGTCCATACAAATAGGCATTGACATAACAATACCACACAGTTAATGGTCAAAACTACATGTGTGCCTCAATTTTTTATCTATTTCTATATTATTCATTCTATATATCAAAACTACCACAAAAAGCTGACCTTTCACACACAGTGACGTCACGAGTCACCCGCGAAAATACGCCATGTTCCTGGAGGTGCAAAGCTAAACAGCTAGCTAACATAACCAGGCAGAGCGCAATCGTTTTTCTATTTATATTCTGAAGAAATCGCTGTAGGCCTATGTCTTCCGATTATATCTCTGGACTTGAGGGGTGTGCTCTCAGTCGTTACCGGCTTAAACTAAAGCTGTGTGGGCAGTGCTTGAATTGGAATGAAAAAGGTGCCAGTACTCTAAAATCAGCAACTTTTTCAAGTCAATTTTATATATACAGCCCACAAACAAGAATTTGGCTACTATAATGCTGGTGGGTTTATCTCTTTACTACTGTATATTTTAGAAAGGTTCACTGTACTTAACATTTTTTATGATAGGCAGCGGATATGGCTAAAGTTCAGTAAGGTCAATATTAACTGAAAATATAGCAATCAAAGTCTAGATCTTCTGCTGAAGACACATGAAGCAGAGACCTTTCAGGTGAGAGCCCCTCTGGTGGTGTTCAACATTAATGACAAGGAAACAAAGCTCTGGTCAGAAGCATTTTTTATAAAAAGCTTTAACAAAATTAAGTATTTCTGTACATTTTGAATGCAATCTAACTTTCCAACTCAGAAAACGAAAAACGAAAAAGTGCCAAAAGTCTTCTCACATGGCTGAGCTGCTTTGCAATATACTTCACCACTGAAGAATACAAATATGTATAAAGTAAACTATGATGCAATCTAACTTTCCAACTCAGAAAAATGATAAAGAGCATGAACAAAGAACATGTAAAAACAAATGCAAAATTGGCACAATCTAAAATGAGAAACTGTAACTGCAAGTAACAAAGTCTGAGCCATGGTAAAGAGTTACATTGAACACCAAGCTGATCAGATAACTCCCTGGTTGGTCTGAAGTCCTTCTATCTCCAGGATCTGTACAAATCGGCACATTATGCCAAAAGTCTTCTCACTGGGTGAGCTGCTTTGCAATATACTTCACATTGTTAGAAAAGGCTCCAGAAGGCCTTGGGGACATCAGTATCAGGGGCTGGAGCTGGACAGGCTCTTTCATCAGCACTTCTCCTTCCCTTTGCCAGCCAGGACCTCACATACTGTTCCGGATTGAACTGTCCTAGTGATGGTCCATTACATTTAATGAAAACCAAGCTGGACAGTTGGCTGACAGAGAGAGCATTCCTTTTTGCAGTAAGGATATCGTTCATGCAGCTGAATGCCCGCTCACACTCACTAGTGGAGACAGCGATGGTTCGGACTGCTTTCAGTAGAGGCTCCATGGCAGCAGGTGTACGGGATGCCCTGGTTTCCTTGTATTCGCGAAAGCCCTGAACAGTCTCTCTTCTGTCCACTTTCAGCACTTCGCACAAACGTAGCACCTCTACGTCCCCATACTGTACGTCTAACTCCTCTTCAGGCCAACTTCCAGGATGGATAACTTTCATGTCCTGGATTAGCTGATTGTCCCGGGCCTCCCGGCCATGTAATGGGATTTCTCTTGTGCTGACATGAGAGGAGGTTGTGGAAGTCATTCTGTGTCTCAGATTCTCTACCATACTGCGGAAAAACTGACCTGCATGAATCTGTACAAGCCTGCCATTCTCACGCAGGGCAACACCCTTGAAGGACTTCTCAGCTAGAGCTGTATGAACTGTAGTCATGTGTGGGCCAGGCATGGTGACCATGGATTCAAAAACTCGTATTTCTCGAGTTAAGAGCCTATCTGCTGTAGGCAGTGTCATCTCTCTTTTTTGGAGTTGCCGAGAGAGGTCGCTGAGCTCTGTGAGCGCATCGTACATCAGTCCCAGATTGCTGACAAACGTTGCAGATGTGAGCACATCATCCAGGCCCTTGTACTTTGCTCTGTCTCTGGAATCCCTGCTCGTGTCGTTTGCAGCATTTGTGAAGTGATCATGAAGCACTCGGTAGTTTTCCCAGACTGCTCTGACGCTCCTTTCACTTGAAGCCACCCAGCGGATGGACAAAACACGCCCTATCACCAGGAGACGCTGTCCGACTGCTTGCGCACACTGCGCTAACTGCCTCTGATTTTTGGGGGAGCCATGGAACAAGGAATAGAGTTTGTCAAAAAAAGATCTGGAAATGATTGAGCCCTGAGACCTCCTTGACCACATCCCCAACTGCCAGCTCTAGACGATGATTGGAGCAGTGCCACACAAACAGGCTTGGGAATTTACTACACAACTGGGTAGCAACGCCTGTTCTCTTCCCTAGCATGACTGAAGCCCCATCACATGCAAAAGAAACGAAACACTGACCTAAAAAGTCCTCGTTAAAATCTCTTCCAAGACACTCCATTAACGCCTTTGTGATGCCGTTGTTCCATCCAACTCGATCAGCTCCCAAAAAAACGTTTCGGGCTCAGCATCAGCTAATGCTGAGCGTAGACACACAACAAGCACCGTTTTACCACTAATAGTGGTAGATTCATCGACCAAAACACAGAGTTTTCTTTGGTTTTCTGTAATGTCTTTTGCCATTTTTTTCTTCAGCTCATGAGCTATGTGGTCGATGATTTCGCCACAGGTTTTATTGGAGTGCAAAACCCTGCCCACGTTCAGCCCATTCAGTTTCTGTACATTCAAATCAATTGGCATGTCTGTGAATGGCCGGCTATGTTTGCCAATTTTATATGCCGTTCGAAAAACTCTGATAGTGGTATCTAATTCAGATTTATGCATAGACTGCACTTGATGTTGAATAGTTTCACGTGAAGCAGATGTAAGGATGTCAGCAGCTTTTACATGGGCTTGTGATTCTTTATGTTCTTTGATTTTTTTTCTCAGGCTAGCTTGTTGTTTGCCCTTGTCAACACCGAAATGAGACACTGCACACTCACCCCATTCAGTTGACAGTTTCAGTCCTTGTCCAGTGTGTATTCCCAAAGATTTGACATCTCTGCATATCCGACATCCTAGCTTCTTATCTTTAAGAAGGAGCCATGCATTGGTCTTGCAAAAATATTGCACCTTGTCCGTTGTCCAGCAGTCAGGTGCATCGCTTTGCCCGGTGTTGGTGGTGGCAGTTGCGCCAGCAGCAGCTAACGTTAGAGGCTCTGGAGGAGGCGGCGGAGCTAGTGCTAATGCTAATGCACTAGAACCTGGAGCAGGAGGATCAACCAAAGAAAGCTCCCCATCAGACACAATTTCCAACACAGGCACAGCATTCTCTGTATTTGAAGTTTCTTCCGGCGACAACCGCTGTCTTTTTGCACTTTTATTAATCCACGCTAACATTTTAGAAATGCTAATTTGTGACGTGACTTGCTTTCCTTCTCTCGGGGGCGTGCCTGCTCTGTTCTATCACTCTACATAGCCACCCACTGGGTGGGAGTTGCACTGCATAAACACAACACACGTGCATCTAGGTATGTAAATTGTAAAGCATTAAAACATGGTTTTACTAACAGTTTTCAGTATGTTGTTACTTCGGCATTATTATTATTATTATTATTTTGAAACGTGTATTACTATTAAATCACGGTCAAATAGGTTAATTTTGACATAGTCGTTTCCACCACAGTATTTACATGGAGAAGATAAGCCCCGCCCCCTCTCCAGCACGTTCTGTTTGAATGACAGGAGTAAACAGCTGACAGCCGCTGTGAAACTCCAGCGGTTAGAGCGATGAGAATGTCCGTTCGGCACCTCATGACGCATCTACTGAGTACCGGGCGGCTGTATATATATATATATGGATGTATAATAAGAACGGCGGGAGAGTGTTGAGTACTGGCACGGTGCATGAGTACCGGAGTACCGCCAGCATGCCGGTACTGAGCAAGAAGTGCCGGTACTCCATGGGTCAGAACCAGAAGTGCCGGTACTGCGTACCGGTGAGTACCGGCCCAATTCCAGCACTGTGTGTGGGTTGTATGATTACCCGTATAGAGTTCCTGCAGATTCATGGTGAAATGACCCTGGAAAGTGGCCTCCGGTGGATTTTGGCAACATCTATGTGTATCTTCTGGAAACACCAGGTGAATACCCCACTTGTCACAATAATATTATCATGCCATTGCATATATGTGGTATTTTAGAGTTGACTAGATATTGATTAAGACAATAGACTATGATATTCAGTAGGCTACAGGAAGCTTAGCAACACCAAGACTGTTACAGGATTTTTATTTTGGAAAGTATTTTTTTTTCTTACTTCTCACGTTTTTTATTATATTTTATTATATCATAACTTAGTACTTTTTTCTTAACATAGGTAACATTAAGCTGTCTGTGGCTCTTTCCTGCTGTAACGATGCAAATGTCCCCTCTGTGGGACTAATAAAGGTCTGTAATACAGGCCCTGGGCTGTAAACATAACCTCCATTGATATAATTTGGTACTACCAGCATTGTAGCTATTGTCACTGTGTTAAGCCTTACATTGATGCTTACCAGCTGTCAAATCAAAGGTAGTATATCCTACTATGTTTGATGTTTAATTATAAGGTGACAGTGTATGTTTTACCTTTGTGTTTCAACAAGGTGTCCACACTAGAGAAGCGATGAAAAATTACAAAGCACTAGACTCCTACAAGCTGCTGGAATCTGGTTGGGTGCAGACAGTGAGGCAAATCATTCCTAATGACACAACCCTCACTGTCCTGAGAGCTGACGTGACACCGTCATTCCGGGTGAATGAACCGCCGCATCATCCATGGGCAGCCGTTACCCAGCGTGGCGATGTGGTTGCTGCTCACTAGTGATGGCAGTTTGACACTGAAGCTTCGAACGGAGCTTCAACCCTGGACTTCCTATTCCATAGAAGCAGTGCTTCGAAGCTTGCTTCAAATCACGTGACATATGACGTCCGAAGCAGCAACTGCTTCAAATCACGTGACATGTGACGTCCGAAGCAGCAACTGCTTCATTTCCTGAATGAATCACTTGACTGGTTCACGGTCCATTCACGCGATTCAATGCACTGCCTCGTCTCGATTCTGACAGGTGACAGGTTGAAACAGTTTCAAATTTGAGCGCTTCAACACTTTATGACCGCTCTAAACAATGCGCAATGTGTGGGTTGTTGTCGTAGTTTGCGTTGTTGCTGTTGAGTTGTTGTTGGTATTGCATTTGAATTGTAGTATCATTATAGAGCAAGCCAGGAAGTAAGATAGGTCGTTCTGGCTCGGGAAACACTTCGAAATGTGGAGAAGTTGTGAACAAAAAGACAATTATCAGTAATATAAAAACAGTTAAATATTTCAAGCAATAGATAGCCCAGTGGGTACAGCCGGCGGCCCGAATGCAGCGATGTCCTCCGCGCAGCTGGTTCAAATCCCGGAATGGACGTATTTTAATCGTTGCTTTTCAACTTTAATAACTGATAAAAGGCCCTCTCCACCCAAAAACATGTCTAGCACTCTCTAGTCTCTTCTCAATAACCCAATACACACAATTATCAATCTTTAATTGCAAATAGAACATGATATTCAGTCTTAGTGTGTGTGTGTGCATCGAATATTTTTCAAGGCAATGATACGTTAAACCCACTGCAGCCTTGCACTTCGCCAGGAGAGGTCGCTGTAACTGAAGCTTCGAGAAATGAACCTATTTCCGACACAATTGTCCAAGTGGTTCGACGCTTCATTCAAAGCTTCATTTTGCCATCACTACTGCTCACTGTGACTGCAAAGCTGGGTATGTAGATTCCAGTATGTAGAAACTAAATGTTTACTATGAACATATTCTGGTTGTATATTGTGTGACAACCCTGTGGTTGTCCACCCGGTGGTGCTGCTGTAACCTGTGTGTTTCTTGTAATCAGCAGTGATGGGACCCACCTGTGGCGCTAATTCCAGGATATAAGAGGGCTGCAGAACAGGCTCTCGCTCTCTCTCAGCTGCCCTGCTCGGTGCAGCAGGACACCGCTCCTCTGTTCTGTTTTATTGTTGTTGGAACCACTGTGTTGGATAAATAAATGATTGTTTTGGGCAACTCCGGCATGGAACTGTTGTCCTTATGTTACAAGCAGAGCCAGCTTGTAACAATAATTTATTAGGTAAAGTATCACAGAATCAACATACAAAATATAACATGGTCAACTCTAAATGTAAGCATGTGAACTAGCAACCACACATACAAATTCATTCCTTGTATACAATCCCACCCCCAAGGTTAGTCAAAATTGCACATACCCCAACTATCTTATCTGCACTTGATTTGTCTACCTGATCTGCCTCATCCTTCAGAGATTTAATATGTCGAATCGGCAAAGTGCCTTGCAAAATAACAAAACGGTTTTTCATTAGGCCAATCACACGCTCAATATGAATTCTCACCGATGACAATTTCCTAGAGGATTCAAGGTGTTTGGCTGGTAATTGACTCTGCCCTTTAGTGAATGCTGGTGTGAGCAGCTCTACACCAGCAATACCCGCAAACTTCCTTCATTGTAAACCCCCTATCCGCTAGAACTTGGTCACCCGGGTGATGGTCACATTTAGTCAAGAATCCGCTTTGATATACTATTTCCACATCGCTCACCCTCCCACCCCAGGCATCAGACAGAAAACAAATGGCACCAAGTGGGTTACATCCAATAAGAAACTTCATAGTGGTGTGACGCTTATAATTTGACCAGACTTGGGCACGAGCTTTAAGGTTCCCTGGAGATTCAATGAACACTTCAAAACAATCTATGATACAAGTCAGTCTAGGGTACAGAGCCTTGAATGCAGGTGGCATATTAGAAAATATGCGCTCCCTCTCTGGCCAACTAACAACACGCTTCAGTTTCACAAAGGCTACATCCATCCACTTCCAAAAATGATCTATGAGCGTGCTCTGAGGGATGCCTACCTGGTCTGCCAAATACTCAAACTTCATGCCATGTTTCAACTTCACTATCATATAAAAAAAACTGATCAATGTAGGGGATGGATGGGGTACCTTTGCATATCATTGAAACTAGCAAGAATTGAAAAGTGGCTAGAAAAATGGGCCAAGTTAGTCCGGTGTAATACTGACACTTCTCATTGTTTTCAGCAACAGTGTTAGAAGACAGCCGGATAGAGTTGAGGGTGGCCCTAGCATGGTCCCTCTCAGCAAAAGCAGCATCTCTTTCCGCCCTGAGTGCAGAGATCTCATCAAAGAGCATCTGTTGAGGCACGGAAGGTGGAGACACTGAACTGGTCGACGGTTGAGGCGAAACAGGAGTAGGTTGATGCTGTGGAGGTTCGGAGGATGCAAGGGATGTGTCCTGCACTCCAACAGGGACTGCGTAAGCCACTCTGCACTTCTTTTTTGAGGGCCCATTTGCTTTGCCAAGCATCTTCTTGCCATGACGACACATAGCATTCGAGAACCTAATACACACAAACATTACATATACCAGGGGTTAGGGTGGTGCGATTATGGCAAAAATCATAATCACGATTATTTGGGTCAATAATTGATATCACGATTATTAAATACGATTATTCATTGACTTAGAAAAATCAATTTATTGAACTTTAAAACAAATAATAATTTGAACAGTATCTTTTTAACTGTTGTTTACCCTGAACGTATAATTCAACTGAAAAACCAATACAAACATAAATTAAATAAATGATACATTTATATTTATATATATCATTTATATAAAATACAATTAATTGCACAGCCCTACCAGGGGTGATAACTAACACCTACCCACAGCTGGTATGTTATTGTAAAATTGTATACTTCACATCTATCACAACAGTATTACAGTGTTCGATTTAGGCCAGGCATATCATCAGTATATACATGCATTTTCGAAAACCTTCTCAGTTTCTGGCACTTGTCAGCTGTTGGTAGTTTCCCAGGCGTAGCAAAATTGGTCGGGATGTAATCTGGATGGCCAAGCTCCTTGGAAGGCTGCCCTGAAAAACAGATAAGAGCAACCATGATGCTATGCTACCATGCTATGATTCTGCTGTAGAGGAAGGTAAACAGTAGTTTGGTCCAGTCCGGGCTAGCGGCGGACATCAGATTAATCATAAACATAGTTGTTGTTCTGAAATACAACTTCAACTTACCAGTAATGAAGTGTGCCGAGCAGATGTACACATATTGCACGGTGTCCTTGGCAGTGTTGCCAACTTGGCGATTTTCTCGTTAAATTTGGCAGATTTCCAAACCCTCCGGCGACTTATTTGTGTCAAAACTGCGACTAACGACTAATCTAGCGATTTATAATGGTGTTATTAGCGACTTTTCTGGTGTTTGGAGACTCACATTGTTCTGCAGTTAACGAGCCGCGGGTGCTGCCGTGAGCCCCGCCTCCCTCCCATAGTACTCACAGGCGCTCAGACTGACAGTTACCTGGCCGCAGCAGAGCTGCTGCTGCAGTCAGAGCAGAGAGGAGACAACCACACTCCCCCGCGTCGAGACTGCAAATGAATTGCGCATGCGCCAACTGCCAAGCCCTCCTGGTTTTGAGCGGGATTTAAATGTTGAATGTAAATGTTTCTTCACTCAGTAGTGATGGGAATTCCGGCTCTTCTTGGTGAGCCGGATCATTTGGCTCGGCTCACCAAGAAGAGCCGGCTCTTTCGGCTCCCAAACGGCTCTTCAGTTTACCACATATTATACCTTTTAATTAAATCAAATGTAGCCCTGTTTTGACTAATTAATGATGTATATGTGTACACATATATCACTTAAATTATTCAATACATCCTTTGTACTGAAGTATTCAAAAGTGAAAATTACATGTTTAATTTAAATGATTTGCTGTGGCCAAATGTTTTCATTGCATTTACAGACCCTTGTAACTCTCTGATACCACCCAATGAATGCACTGACTTGCTTGTAGAACCACGCTACACAAAACAGATAGCAACACCTATAAAAACTAGGCTATTTTAAAAAAGGGGCTACTGTATCGACATTTTAAAATTATATTTAAAGAAAAGGCCCTGACAAAACAGCAGGGCTCTATTTCAGTAACTATTAGCTATAGAAACCACGCCCCCCTGCAGGAGAGGGGAGCGTGCTTTGAGATCAGCTGATGGGCTCTCAGAAGAGGTAGAAGTAAGAAGAGAAGTAACGGGGTAGAAACCCTCCTTTTTACGCAGCGCGGCCCAGACATAGACATCAAACCTGCGACACATATTCAGTGTGCAGTTACTTTGGCACCATTAGGGCAGGGATATCTAGATACTTTCCAAGGTTTGACATCATGAATTGTGCTACTTTTAAAGCAAGCAACGATGTTTTCAAATCTGTAATCAAAAAGCTCCTCAAAAACACTATCGAAGCAGTTCCTGCCGTTGCTACGTTAGTTCAAACAGTAACAACGGACTATTTTTCTTAGCGGATGCATGTCAATTTAAATAAATACATACAACTATTTTTTAAATCAATAAAATCATTTTCTAAATCCATAAAAGCATTTCAATTAATATTGGGAGTCATGTCGTTACTTTGTTGAGAATGTGGCCTTGTAATAAGCGGGATAATGTGCACATTGCATAATGTGCCTTCATGCCGATTTAGATCCCTCCGCAAAAAAAAAAAAAAACCGGCTCGTTCGCGGGCGAGAGCCGGCTCCCGTCGTTCACTTAAAAGAGCCGGCTCTTTGAGCCGGCTCGTTCGCGACCGACACATCACTACTTGTGAGTGATGGGATCGACGCGAGCGCAAGCTCTCGCCCACTGGGCCCTCCGTCCTGGCTGTTTTTCGTGACTGGGGAACTTGAAGAAAGAAAACTTGGATTTTCCATCACTATCTGTCATCCAATGATGATTTCTACAAGTCCCAGCACTACACCACTTCATCATCTTCAAAGTATTGTAACTAACAAGTAAGTAACACGGCTAAAACCTCTGCCTGGTTGCACCTCGCGTAAAATGGTGGCTCCCGGAAGTACGGTGTCGCCGTCGGCCCAAAACCCGTATGTGTGTGTGAAAGAATACAAACATTTTTCAGGTCCCAAAAGACCACTGTTGCCCTTATAACCAAATAAGTAAATAAACTAAACAAAACAAGCTGCCAGCTGACAGTAATTGTTCATGAATGTTGGTTAACTTTCAATGAGACAACGTATCAGAGTCCCATTAAGCTATATTTTAACTTGCCAAGGAAAACCTAAAAAAGCCAGCTTACTAGCTTGTAGGCTAACGAATGTTTCTCTTATAATATTTGTCTTATTAGTGCTTCATCAAAGGGATATTAATGGGTTCCATAACTACAGAGTATCATAACCTTAATAATAATATTTTCCTAATTTTCTTAGCTTCTGCTTACCGCGAGTTCCCCTCGCTCTCCCCACTCGCGCTGATCTCTCTCTCTCTTAGAGATGGCAAATCCGGATCATTTTATGGACTCGGAGTCTTCTGAGTCAATCATTGAAGAGATCTGGATCATACGAGTCATTTGAGTCATATGAGTCATATGAGTCAGCATGACCAAGACCGTAGAAATCCTACCGGTGAAACCGAAAAGTTGTTGCATTTAACCAGCATATTAAACTAACGTTACATTAACCTCCGCTACACAGTGTCTTTTGCTTTAATAAAACATGTGTGTGTGTGTGCATTTAAAAAAATAAGTGTTTTGCATTATATGTATATAGTTATTTTAATATGTTCCTGTACTTAAGCTAATTTTGCACAATTGTGTTTTCATAATAATAATAATAATAATAATAATAATTGTATAATTACATTTTATATATTCTAACTGTTTTGCAATTTTCTATCATTTGTTTCTTTTTGTGTGCCATGTTCAAAATAAACGAGTTTCCAAGTAAGATCCTTATTGGAAATGCAGATATTATTACAGGAGACTGTTGCACAACATGACCATTTTGTTAGAAGTCTACACTGAAACTTAATTTAGAGCCGGAAAAATCGCGGGATCCGTGAATCCAGGTCAATGATCGAGAGAGACCAGTAGCCTACGAGGACTCAGAGCCGTAACATATAGCAGGCAGCAGATCCAGAGATCCAGCAGACGAATCTACAGCAGACTCAGCCCCTCCTCCGGCTCGCACGGCTCCCGCGAGTCCCACGGCTCCCTCGACGAGTCGCAGCAGACTCAGAGATTTGCGGACTCACGGCTCACTCACGACTCACGGCTCACTCACGGCTCACGGCTCACTCACGGCTCCCGCGAGTCCAACGACTCACGGCTCACGGGACTCTCGCAGGAGCCGGAGGAGGGGCTGAATTTGCTGTTGATTCGTGCATGGCGACGAGTCTGCTGGATCTCTGGATACAACAACGTTGTAATGTGATTGTACACGTTATAAAGAGAGTAAAGAGTGACGCAATTTATAGTTTTAATTGTTACGTCACATCAGGTGTAGGACTCAAAGGACTCGGGTTAATCGAGAGGGAGACTCGTCACGACCGGCTCATTACTAGGATCCGGGTTAATGATCCGGATGAATCATGACTCGCCCATCTCTACTCTCTCATCATCTTTCTCACCACCAATATTGGCCACGGGTTAGAAGAAGATGGACCTGCACCTGTACTAAACATGTCGGTTATTTTGACACAAGCGGCAGCATCAGCACGAAGGGCCTGCTTTTTTCTTGCCCGCAATTTTTCTGCTCCCCCTTTTCGCTTGGCCTTCGCCATTTCTAACTCGAACTTTTGTTTTTCTCGAAAAACAATGCAGTTTGGCTTCAACGGCCGGTGTTATGTTAACACCTGTTATGCCGTAGGTTGAAGCTTTGCCGTGGATTGAAGCCCTGTTCGCGGGGACGCGCAAAGCTGACGTCATCGCCTGTATTGAGCGTTCGCCGTTTTTTCACCCTTTTCAAAGCTTTTTTCTCTCTTTTGAATGATATATCAGATTAAACAGCAAACGGCTGAATAAATAATGTGCATACAATTGCGAGGAGGCTCGTTTTAAGGACACGTTTTTCAGATCTGTCACAATCTTCGTATTGGAATACACTTCCGTTTTTGAGTGTCTGTTATATTCCTCCTTCCGACAGAACAGACAATGACATGATAATATGTGATTTGTCAATAGTCCTATTTCTTAAAACCTTCTCTGTTGTTTAAGTGTCTGATAACCACGAATAGTAAGCAATGATATAACAGTAATTATATCACATGATCATGTCAGACACTGTGTTATTTTCAATCAAGCCTAAAAGATAATGTGTTCAAACTGGCTTCACTCACTTGAATTGCTCCTTTGAATATCATTTTTATATATCCCTACTCAACACATGTTTGTATTGTAATGCCACTCGTATTTTTTCCCAATTGTATTTTAAGGTGACATTGAATGCTTTGAAAGGTGCCCTAAAATAAAGTGTATTATTGGTGTCAAAAGGGAAGATCTGCACTGTTCTCATACATAACATGTTCAGAGCAGGTATTTCTCCTGCCGGATTTGGAACCCCCCCTATATCTTTCTCCAGGATAGTCACAACTTCACCAAAATCACACTGGTGCTTGCTGTTCCCCTCTAGTTTATGCTCACCAAAGCATTTCACTCTGGGCCCTGCAGGTGAAAAACTAAAGAGGGGCTTCCATATCCGGCAGTGCAGTTGTTAGAGCTGCCGGATTTTGAAGCGCCCGCTGTAATTTTGGCCAGGATAGTCACAGACTCACCAAAATCACACTGGTGCTTGCTGTTCCCCTCTAGTAAAATGCTAGGCCCAGAGTAACATGCTTTGGTGAGCACAAACTAGAGGGGAACAGCAAGCACCAGTGTGATTTTGGTGAGTCTGTGACTATCTAAGGGGCTTCCAAATCCGGCAGAGCAGACTTTCTATCCTGAGGAAGATTTGAAGAACAGTGCAGATCTTCCCTATTGACACCAATAATACACTTTATTTTAGGGCACCTTTAAAAGCATTCAATGTCACCTTAAAATACAATTGGAAAAAAATACGAGTGGCATTACAATACAAACATGTGTTGAGTAGGGATATATAAAAATGATATTCAAAAGAGCAATTCAAGTGAGTGAAGCCAGTTTGAACACGTTATCTTTTAGGCTTGATTGAAAATAACACAGTGTCTGACATGATCATGTGATATAATTACTGTTATATCATTGCTTACTATTCGTGGTTATCAGACACTTAAACAACAGAGAAGGTTTTAAGAAATAGGACTATTGACAAATCACATATTATCCTGTCATTGTCTGTTCTGTAGGAAGGAGGAATATAACAGAGTGGGACTGCACTCAAAAACGGAAGTTTGTTCCAATACGAAGATTGTGACTATCTGAAAAGTGTCCTTAAAACGAGCCTCCTCGCAATTGTATGCACATTATTTATTCAGCCGTTTGCTGTTTAATCTGATGGGAAATATATCATTCAAAAGAGAGAGAAAAGCTTTTTAAACTAGACGAACGCTCAATACAGGCGATGACGTCACGTTTGCGCATCCCCGCGAACAGGGCTTCAATCTACGGCAAGGCTTCAATCTACGGCACCTCCTGGGGGCGTGATTTAATGATGCACACCGAGCGGCCAAAGGGGGAGGTGATTAAAGATTTGATTGGGCCGGCCCAGTGTCAATTACTAAAAACATTTAAACAGAGGGCCAATCTACCCGTCTTATGGGCCGGGACTTCAGAAAAAAAAAAAATGACGTGTCGGCCCAAAAGGCACGTCCGCCCACCGGGAAAATGCCCAGATGGCCAGTCCAGCCCTGTCTTGAACACGCATACAATATAATAATAATTAGAATAATAATACATTTTATTCATCAAGCGCTTTTATCAGTTGCTCAAAGACGCCTAATATCAATTTCTTTCTCTTATTGTAAGGATTTACTTCCCATTTTTGTTGGGCAACTACTGTATGTCCTTTTGACATTTTACTGTCCATTAACACTTTCCTCACAGTAAAAGCAAACAAATAATAACTGATGTTAAACATTACATTTGTAAAAACAAAACATGTATTTACATTATTTTATACACTAATACAACTGTACACTAATTGAAAGACTTTCAACTGCCCTTAGCTGATGTCTCAGGTCTACATATAAAACAAAGTAGAATTTTATGTTTTCACTAAAACGTTCATCATAAAGCACAGTGATAGTGATGGGATAATAACGGTAGCTAATAATATGCTTGCAGTGTTGATGCACCACAGTATGTAATCATTTGATATATTCATTATTGGTTTTGTATATAGTGTCATTTTGCTTGAAAATTCCAAAGCATTTCTACTTTCAAAACTACCTTTTCTTAAAACATATATATTTTTTAATTATATTAACCGTGTGGGAGCAGATACTCAATACTTCATCAATATTCTGGCTACGAAAAAAACAAATCATAATCAGAAAATGTATGAATCCTTCACTATAAGGTAGTGATGCTAAGTTTAGTTTTGTTTGCCACTCTGACCTATATACACATATTAGATACACTGAACAGGTTCATGGAAAGGAGAGAAATTAAATGTTTTTTTTGGCCACACGTTATAGCATCAATCAATGTTTCCTCACCAGTTGTAGATGGACCTGGCTATTTAACATCAACACATACCACAGATGGTTTCACACCATCACTTTAAACAGACACCACAAGAGCCTCCCTCCGTAAAGACAACATCCAGTATATAACAAACCTCAGAATTATAAAACCTGCAGGCTGTGTTTGGGTTTGGCTAAAATGAGAAACCAGATGAATAACGTGTGACAACATTTACTCTGATCATGATGATTATTTAATCTATACTTACAGGCCCACCAAACGTCCACACATTACAGTTTACACCCAGATAAACACAACAGCTAACATGTAAACTATGAAACATTTCTTCATAAATCTGAAACCGGGACTTAAGACTTATCAGAAATGCCACAGTTATGAAACTGTTTTTAAAAATACAATAATTTCCATTTTAAACACCTAAACATCATGTCTTTGTAAAATCAATGCACAAACTCTGTATGGGATTTTTCAGACAAACTTTACTTGAAAATAAAAAATAAACTCATATTAAACAAACAAAACGATGTCATTACAATACCACACAAAGGCAACACGTTGAGTAGGCAACATGGTCACATGGGTACAGTCTGTGCTTGTCATGAGAGTCTTTAACAGGGCTACTTTAAGTTCATGCTTTCACTGACGCACCATGTTCACTCATAAAAATAAAGTAGCTTGACAGAAAGATATGTTCTGTTTAAAGCTCGTGGTTTATAAAAATACATAAAACAACAAGGGTTTGCCACTTACAGAACAGAATTACCAATCCATATCAGACTAGACTTTGAACAGTTTATTTGAACATACTGGCAGTGTTAGAGAGTCTGTTTACACTTTATACAAAACAAAGACACAGGTGGTTAATATCAAACGCTCATGTTCTCATCCCACTCAGTACTTTCAAACATGAAACTACAAATGAACATATCCTCTTTCCGATGCACACACTCACACACAAAAATAGAGCATGTCGTAACACAACTGGTTAGGCCAGATGAGTGAAGTTAAACGACAAAAGATACTTGGCAGTGTGACAATTCTACAAGCAAAATATCCAACACGTCGTCCCCTTTGCAATAGAAAATAAACACTACTTTACAGTGAACCAAACCATGCAGAGCTTTTGAAGGGAGGTAGAGGACATCAGAGACAGAGAGTAAAATAAAAATAAATATGTATCTATAGATAACGTGGCTCTGAAAACACTGCAGATTAGTGGCCCATCTTTTTGCCTGTACAACACAAAATATACTTTACAACCGAATAACTGTCATATTTGGAAGTTGGAATGTATTAGTATAGTGTTACAAGTCGCTAAGTAACTTTTCATTCAAGAATTCACTTTTGGAAACATCATTATATTGTTGACAACATTCAACACTCAGATAAACCTAGCAGCACCACACATTTACAAAGTAGCAACTCATGCGAAAACACATCTGGCCCTGTACGCCGTGCGCAGAATGTGTCAGTAATGTAAAGCACCTTGCGCTAAACATGTTTTAACTTTGCATTTATGAAAACAGGAAACAGAAAATGTGTATCGGTTGTGTTTTTGCTCTGTTGTGTGTGTGTGGTTGTGTGTCTTTGTGTGACTGTGGTTGAGGTTTAAGCCAGCGTCCCCCCAACAATAGAGGCAATGACAACTCCCAAAATCACACAGCATATAATAATCATAATTTTCTTCTGTAAAGTGTAAACAAGAATAGAAAAACAGTCATCCATGGCAGCAAATGGGGAGCAGAGGAAAACATGTTAGATATATGATTTTGTATTTTATTTTAACACATGTTACAAGATGTTTTATTAATTAAGACAAAATTCAGATTTGGATAAATACTTTGAATGTATCTGAGGATGTATCTGAGGATGTTTTGGAATGTGACTGTGGTTAAGAAGCATTTCCACATCATCTACTTTAAAAAACATAAATAATTTAACAACATGTATTTACACAATCCACAAATGTGAATCTTTTTCATATTTAAAGCCACTATTTGTATAATATGCGTGGAACTACATCAAGAAAAAGGCTTACAGCAGTCTTATACACCGGCTCGATTTTTACCAAGATTGTCCATTTTTTCTTTGAGTATGAAACAAAGTTATATGAGAGGATTGATACCACACTATTGTAAACGAGTATGAAGCCAGCATCCGGTCAGCTTAGCTTAATTTAAATAATAAAGGGGAAAAGTGTGTGGCTATGTCCAAAGGTAAAACAACACACACATATGAGCACGTCTTTAAGCTCATTGATAAAGTTCAGTTAATTTGAATTCCAAAAATAAATGTCAAAATAAATACTTTCATGCCAATCAGTGCGATGGGTACTCGTGGTACTGCAAACAACTTTAAAAAAAGTAAACCATACATATTTTATATGTTTCAAACTTTCCCAAAAACGTGAAACTTTTTGAATAAGTGAATAACATCAGAAGTCACTGCTCTATGCTAAGAAAACGTTATGCAACTTGTTGTTACACATCATCTTAACCAATCCTCTCACCTAAATGCAAATTAGTGTATTTCCCAAACAGTAGAAATATTTCCTTAATACTTTATAAAGGGAAACATTTTATCACTTAAAAAAATATTTTGCTCTTATTTCAAGACCATTTTTTAAATGATCAATGAATGAAATCACACCTCTGCAGAGTTGTGTATGTATACAAAAACATGTAATACAGGATGCAGAACATGCACATGACAAAAGTACGTGAATCATGACACAAGCAGACACAAAGCACAAGAAAGTTCCTCAAGGTATTTGAAAAAAGTATATATATATATATTATATATATAAAAACTGTAAATAAAATGTAAAATATTTGATTACATACTATTCGACTGTCTTTAGCAGTTAGCAGTAACTGACTGCGCAAGACAGAGCTCACTTTCTACATTTCACACTGAGAGGGAGGCATCGACAGCTCTATGGATTTCTAGGGGTCCTAACTGAGTCCAGCTGCGAGGCAAATAATGAGGACGATCACACCTGCTGCAATACAACCCGCTATCAGCATCACCTTCTGGATGGGGGGAAAGGAGCGCATTGTGTCAGATACATATTCTTTGGATAAAGAAAGAGAACGATTGAGAAACTGAGAGTAATATCAAAAGTAGGGAAAGAAAGAAAAATATTAGTCTTTAATTATGAGTGGGGATAAAATCATGTAGATGACCCTTTTGTAAATAAGGTTCATGTGATGTATGAAATGCCTCTACTTTTGAGTGTTGCTGTATAAACCAGGAGGTGGCAGAGTTGTTCCACTGTGGTGCAGGTTGTCAAAATGAAGTTAGCAGTAAATAACCCTTTTTATGAAAAGTGGTCCAGTCGTTCAAAGTGTTTTTGTCTGCTGTCCCTACAGCACATTGAGAGGAGCTCAATATCCCTTCATCTACTCACACTGTGATCAACAGCTCCCCTGCCTCTGTCCAAGCTTCACAATATCCACTTATCGGCACCTCTTAAGCACACTAGAATAAATGTGAAATCCTTGCAAAACCAAAGTGAAAAAAAACAATATTGTGTTTTTGGTAGTTTTTAGTATGTATTAAGAGCGAAATCTGGAGGTTGATGTTGGACATTCAAAAACTGCATCCCTTCTTTAAGTTATTTATTTAGCTCATCCTACTGCTTACTTATCAGATTTCACAAACTCTCAGCAGCAAGTGGTTTTTCAGTTGTGTTATTTTGTTTGTTTGTTTTTAGATATAGGTTACACCTTGGAAACTGCAGCTAGGTCCTCTGGGGAACACATACCCCTGGTTTGAAATCACTGCTGTAGAAAATGTAGATTACACTCACGACACAAATGCTCACCATGCAGAGCACATGCACACACTCTGTCCACAGTTACACACTGCCAACAATACATGCAACGATCAGAAGTGATTTATTCATGTGATAGCACGTCTGTGCACATGCATTTTTTTCGTGGTATATGAGACTCACCCTCCGGGCTTTACTCTGGTATTTAACCGCCTTCTTAGTGTCTGATACTGCCCTCTCCACATAGTCTACTGAGTGCTCCACATTGTACTCTATGCGGTCTATCATTTCCCCCTAGGAGAGGTTAGTTAAAGAGGAGGTGTGGAAGACATGCAGACAGGAAGAAGAAAGAGGGAGCCAGATGTGGAGGCAGGAGTAGAAAGAGGAATGGATACAGATGGAGAGGAGGGGAGGGAGGGAGGGGAGGAATAATGGGTGAGAATGAGAAGTAGAGAGAAGGGGAAGCAGAAAGGGAGAAAGGAAATAATTAGTCAGTTCGTTGAATATGCATTTTCAATCTCACCCGTTTGCCTGTCTTTTTGAACTTTTTGCATTTTGGGATGTTGTCCTTTGCCTGCTGCACATATTCTTGAGCGCCCAGCACACTTCGCTCGATGTTGTTCACCAGTTCACCCTGAACAATAAAAAAGAGACAGTCATTGTAGTGTTGGTGAGAGCTCACATTGATACCAACTTCAACCACATAAGAATGATATTACATTAACCTATTTTAATTACATTGATGCCAATATGTGTGAGAATGGGAAAGACTGCTGTGGAAAACATACTGCTCTGCTTAACTTGTGAAAGCAGAATGTGATTTACCATGTTTTAATCAGCATGAATTAATAAAGAAAGTCCATATTTCAAATTAAGCATTGATGGAGGATTGTTAAAAAGAAAATTGTTAGTGACAACTAAGGTAATCCTTACAGTTCTTCATGCATCCACTGCAACTGTGATTCAAGAATAAAAAAAGAAAGAACAAATTAGGAATCATCGAAAATTACCTTTCTGCATTAGGAGGGGATCGCTGTTCTCTGTTCTCGAGAGCTTACAGTCATTGAGGTGATGACAGTGTTGTAGAAGCAGAGAGAAAAGAGAGTGCAAAGCTCAGGAAGGCAGAATTAACAAAAGACAGAATTATAATCTTTAAATGTGTGGTGCTCTGTTAATAAGGGAAAAGTTAGTAATTGAGCTAATTACATGTAGGGAATTCATATTTGTGACAACACAATGAAAAAGACACACACACACACACACACACACACACACACACACACACACACACACACATCACTTTAGGGGACATTACATTGACTTACATGCATTTCCTGGAGACTTATCCTAACCTTAACCATAACCAACACATGCCTAACCCTTACCCTAAAATTAATGATTCCCCTCCAATTTGTCCCCATAAGGGAGGCGAGTCCCCACACGTGACTGTGTAAACAGATTTAGCTCCCCACAAGTATAGTAATGCTAGGCCACACACACACACACACACACACACACACACACACACACACACACACACACACACACACACACAATTATCACTCCAACACTTCAATTATGAGGGGAAGTCTGCTATTGCATTGTGCTATAATTCAAATAACTTAAATGCAACCATGTTCTTTCATATTTGTCATTTAGCATATTATCTTTTATGCATGAGCTCAGAACTTTTGCATAATTCATAATGTGTATTTCTTCTGAGGGAAACAGTGAATCTCTGTGGGGGTTCAGCTAAGACAATCATACAGTCACATATACAGGCAAGACATACAGGTTTACATGAAGCAAGACACTTCACTGAGAAGAGTAAAGGCAACTCATAAATATATATGTGTGTCTATGAAGAAGCTATAAGAGAACGTCATATTACTCATGCAATGATGTGCACTGCTCACTGCATGATGCAAGTTCCACCGTACAATGTATATAGAGCCTCTGTTCTCTAACATAATCATATTTCTACCCCAGGAGAATTATGTGTTTTCAATTTACAAAACCCTGCAAAAATTACAGTTTGTTTATGATTTAAGTCTCTTATAAAACAGCAAGTTAAATCAAGGCTAATTAGTGGCCAATTTGAAAGACCCCAACATCATATTTCCCCCAGTTCTTGAATGCAGCATTAGAATTAAAAATGGACTCATGGCATAAATCCCCAAATGACTAAATTCCTATCAGCTCATTTTAAGGCATTCATTATTTGTGCACCAACATCTGTTCTGGACACACACTCAGCACTGATGAACCCACTGCTTTAACTCTAATGAAAATAGCATAGGTTCAGTGAGGAAGAATAATATTTGGTATGCTTAGGCCTGCAGGTTATTTAAAATCAAGGTTATTAAATATCCTGCCTTTCCCTACTCTCATCATGCTCACTCATCATTTCCTCCTGTGATTAACTAAGGCTGTCAATCATGTTATCAGCTGATCTCATCAGCTGGTCACATCTATCCAGTAGCACAGCAACACACCTCCATGGATGGCCTATTATCTTTCTTCTGTCTCCTATTAAATAAGATGATGTCTCTGCCTTTAGTGCCGTTACACTTCAACCTCCCCTTCTCAGCCCAGTTTGCAGAGATTCTTTAGTCACAGCCACCCAGACTCTGCCGTATCATCATCATCGGGTGATTAACAGTATCTTGCTGCTGCTCATGGCAGACGCCCCTCCATTACAAACCTTTCTGCAGAATCTAAGCGTTGAAGACTTTTTATCATGATTTATCATCACATATCATCTGTTGTAATGATGTTTTATCTTTTGTTTATTCACATGTCTCTCCTGACTGAAATACGCTCTACAACTTGTATGTAAATTGACTGCCAGTTGCGTCTGTCTGAAGAAGAGTTATTTTCACGACGGGGAGAAGCTGCTGCAGCTGGATGGCTGGTTAATGATTTCACCACTGTGTGAACACAGTGTGCTTCCGAACTTTTGCATTAGCCAAGGCACTTTTTTAAACCACTGACAGGGAGAAACTAAATCTACAAACTGGATTTGTAAGTCTTATTTATGTCGTCAGTGGCGTCCATGTTGGATAATGTATCGCCAATTTATGAATGTGTTTGCAGGTTTGTGTTGACATGCATTTGGCTGGACCCCAAACCACAGAGCTGTAGGTAGAGAATATGTTTTCACCTGGCTCTCCACCAGCATGGCCATGTCCATGAACATGTCGTGAAGCTCTCGGATGCTGTTTTCCAGCTTGATGATCTCAGTGTGCCGTGTCTCAATCTCATTCATAGCTTGCTCTGTGATATTGTCCATAATGATCTAAAAGGGATCAACAGATGGAAAGAGTTATGAGAGGAATAGAAGTAGATTAAAACATTTGCTTTGTTGGCATTATTGTATGCTTACCCCGGAGGTGAAGATAGCCGGGTTGTCACTCTCCAACATGCTCTCCAGCTCCTCGTTTGTTGTGTTTCTCCCAGCTAAAACGGCAAACACACATCCATAAACATCCATAGTAGCAATCATGTCTGTAGGTGTTAAGAGCATTACCATGTGAGGATATTCAAATCTGTTTAAGCTCAGGATTTAAGAAGTGTAGGAGCAATACCATCCGATTAAAGGTTCTTGACCAGTTGACGAAGACCACATTAGAAAATACAAAATCTTTGTATGATAATAGCAGTCCCTGTCCCCCCAGCCCAGCCGTCTGTTTGATGATTAATTAAAACTAGGCTGTGTGGCTCTCCTTTCCACATGCCCATTTTCTCTCTATCCATCTGTCTCTCTAGTATTAATCATATTGCATTTTAAACTCTTTATTTATGCATCTCTCTGAACAGTGGTAGATGTGATATAAAAATCCAGAGTGCCATTATTTAGTCTATCATCGTGCATCCGTATTAGGTTTGTCAGTATTCAACCAAGCATCTTAAATGTTTAGAGACGTTTATTTAACCACAAGCCTCAGTTAAAGCCCACAACCACTAGCCTCCACATGCACACTTCAACACATCTTCAGTCATATCCACACGGCTCTGTCTAAACACTGACAGCCGAACAGCTGAGTGAACTCCAGCCTGAAATGGTCTTCTTGTAGAATTACAGTATGAGGGCAAAGGCTTTAAAATGACAGACCTAGAATGCTACTGAGGCTCTCATTACTTTATGTTTTCTTCATCTATAGACCAATTAGTGGAATTGGATGGATTTGCTTATACGGTATCAAGGAATATAGCCAAAACTTCTCACGATTAAATACTGCATAATCATTTGTTCTATATACCCTTTTTCATCCTGTGCATGACATACAATAAGTGTCATTAACTACAAATACTGTATAGTATTCAAAAAATAACTGAATACTATGCAAGCTAAGTATTCTGTTGTGAATATATCTCTGTCTCCCCAGCTTATAAAACCTACTGTACAAGCTTGAGTCATTTTCAGTTTTTTAAAAGAGCAGGTAGGCACTGCATATTAGGGTCTTCAAAAGAAGACAGGTCAGGATGAAAATACTGAGTCAGAAACATCATGTTTGTATCCGAACAGCTTGTAGCGGTTAACTGAATCTCATGCTTGAAGATAATCTTTTGACATTTTCTCCCCTCCAATTGATGCAAAAGTGTGCATACTGGTGTGTAGCTAATTAAGAGTAAACAAAGTTAGTGACATCCTCTACTGTTTCACTACCTTAAATGTGCCTTAATCACCAAACAATCTTTCAATCTCTCCACCTGCGACCCAGCATGTATCAGCACATCTTCCTACCGTTGAGTTTGCTCCTCTTCCATCTTTATTTCCCCGATGAGAGTTGACCCACTTCATAAACAAGTCCCTGACACCTCTTTGCTACATTTACTAGCGCTGACTTTGCCTTCACAGCTGCTTCTCGTGTGCTTAATTTCTGCCCCACTGACACTGTAAGTCAGAGTCAGACACCGTCAGCATCATCGTCAATCTTTCAGCTGCACATGAAATCCTCTGTTGGGCGAGAAACAGAATAAACAGAACAGGGCTATCTCCTCCCTGTGCAGACACCCTGCACCCCTCACAAGCCTTTACGTGGTTTACAGGACGAGCTGAGGTGTAATAGACAAAAGAGACTTAAAGTCATCTGCAAGTAACTGCATTTCAAGGAGAAGGAGTTTGATATCAAATAGGAAGGAAGCTTTCATCATAAAATCTCAGGAGTTCAACCAAACACATGAACTAAAAGAGTTCAGATGTCAAAATGAGCTTAAAACTGTGTTCTCCTGTTTAGAGAAAGCATTTCTCTACTTAAAATGTTACTTGGATTTTTCTCCTTCACATTTGAGATTGTTTCGTTTGAGAGCTTTTAATAGGCCGAAAGCGTAGAACACCAGAACTACTACAAGAGCACTAGCTTTGCTAAGTTAGCTTGCTTATGAGTTATCACAGCTGCTGACATCCAAACAGTCAAGTTCCAAATCAAGGTAAATCGTCAGACCACTCCCTTTCATCAACAATGTAAGTCAATGGAGCTACAGCTGTCACTGTCAGATATTGCTCTACCTTTTCTATCTGGACCTCCAGCATTTGTGGCACCCAGGAGATTTTGAAGGCAAATATAAACCTCTATTCATGACCTAATCAGTGTGTGTATTGTGTTTTTTGATGTGTGATGAAGGCCTCAGTGCAGAGCAGGTATAGGTTGATGGTGAGTGACGATGTTTGGGAGTCGTAGCAGATGATTGCCTCCATGAACAGAATACTGATGAAGCTGCTCTCAAATGTTGATCGGTGCATGAACATGTGTCCATGTGTTTTTCAGGGAGCGCATTTACATTTACTGGGCCATGTCTATCATGTCTAATCCAAACTTCATATCCATATAAAAGCAATGAATTTCATTTAGTTGTGGTTAAGCAGTCCTGCTGTTTCAGAAGCCGGCTTGAGAATCAACTCATGTTCAACTATGACATTTTAGAGTTTTACAAATGAAAGGACACAAAGAGGAGTGATATACAACGTTCACCAATGATCATTTCCCTTTTCTCCAGGCCTCTCTGATAATAAGGAATCTCACCATCATTAACACTAAAACTACAACATCAAAGAGGGTCACAGTTAGGGGATGAAGGTTGGAGAGGAGTGACAAAGTAGAACCAAACCAATGCATTCTAGTGCTACCCAACCCTATTTATCTCACTTCACACACACACACACACACACACACACACACACACACACACACACACACACACACACACACACACACACACACACACACACACACACACACACACACACACTGACAGGCTCTGAGGGAGGCTCTTATTTGTTACCATGGAGACCCAAACCCCGAGAAGCCGAATATGAAGCCAAGAAGTCTCACTTCAACCGTAGCATTTAAGGGCAATTAAATCACTCATACTATGTTGCTACCAGTAACAGTATTGTTTAATTCCCATTGTTATGTAATACAAATGAAGTGAGCCCCCTAAGGAACAGAGTGATGAGGCAAACCACACAAATGTTCACCCATGCAGAGCGAAAGGGGGGGGGGTTTAAAGGCTTCTGTTCGCAGCAATTTCATTGTGAGTGTGTCTCTCTTAGCATAGTGTCCACAGGGAAATAAAACATTACAATCAAATGTCAATGACACTCTGTGATGCCTGACCAACATCCTGATGGTAAATAAATGTGGTATTTGAAGTTATTAATAAACTAAAAATAATGATTATAAATTAGATGCGATACTGTTGTTGTGTTTTTGTCGAGATTTAGATAAGAGGATTGATATCACTTTTATCACTTTGTCATTTACACATGAAGCTAGAGCCAAAAGGCAGATGTTCTGTCCTAGTTTATTGCCTAATTCATATCCTGTCTGTTTGTTTGAATGGTATAAAAAAGTGCTAAAACGTCATGTGGTTTAAAAGGCCGTGCTATTTCATGGAGTCACCACTGGATGCCAATAAAACCACAGCATGTCAGTTTTATGCTTCGATGTTTGTGTGGATATAACAAGATGCAAAGTGTGATGAGTGAGATTTAGATGTGCTGGTATCTGTTGTTGATTGTCATCTCCTGGCTCCAGGTTCATAATTACCGTACAATCGCCTGGTTTCCATTTAAAAAATGTTTCGTATCAAACTCATGACAATCATTGTTTATTAATGAGATAAGAAAGGGATCAAAGTTATCCAAACTGTTAAATAATACATTGTATTCTGCAAATAAAGGGCTTGACTTGAAGATATGTGACAGAAGTATCCGCAGTACATGGAAACTACAGTATCAGAAGAACCTGAACAAGTGCAGCCATTTTTGTCAAAAATAATTCGAAATAAATATAGAAAAGCATTTGGTGAGATTAGATGCAAATGCAGTTGGGCTTGGGGTTAATGCGGCACAGTTTTCCATGCAAATAATGGCAAAAATGCTGCTCTCTTGACTCGTTAACTGTATGTCACAGAATCGCTTCGCTGTTTCTCTTATCTCTGTATCTCTGAGTGAAGCAGCAAAGTAAACATCGATACTGGGTCCGACAGACGAGACAAGGTGTCCCTCTGTGTGTGACACACTCCTATTGATTTGCACACAAACAAGTCAAAGGGGTAGGCAAAACAAGAAATACACTTCTCTTGTCAAAGGAATTGTAGTGTGTCAAAATCAGGACCAATGTTATCTGAAGAGGAAAGCTTAACTGGATAAATGTGATTCCTTTGAACCCAAAAGCGTAACTTGAATCAAGCAGAATCCCCATGTGGCACTCTTTAGACTTTCCCTGGATACATTACAGCTATTGGTCGTGGGTCAGGGCACCCATGCCCTTGCCTCTCTTTTAGCATGCAATTATACTTAAGTGGAAGGAAGTTGCTCCACCCACACATCCGCAGTGTTTTAAGGACATGTTTGTCTAAGATCAGGCAGACAGTGCTTGGATTGGAGAAAACGATTTATGGTTGCTTACACTGTTTTATTGAAAGCTAACATGTCATTATTGCTTAAGTTATTCCAAAGAAAAGTTGTATACCCTCTTATTTTCATGTATAGAAAAATCCAGCAGGGAATTTGGAAGGGAGGATGGCTTGTTAAACTTCAAATGCATTAAAAGCAAATCCCCGTTACTCCTACTGTAAGTTTTCCTCTCCTTTGGGCTCTCAATCTGTCTCCAAACCATCCTGTGTGTTGTAATCCCTTCCCTGACGACAGGTCGTATCTGCTAAGGCCTCCTGTGACGCCTTCAGCTGACACACCAAATCCAAATGAACCGGGATGAGCTCAAGAGGAAAGTGAGTCAGACGTGTGTGCTTTAATTCCATGCGGATGCGTTTGTGTTTGTTTATTGATTAACCCCAGACAGTACTGTGTGTTGTCACTTCTGTTCTTTTGACTTAGTGGGCAGTGCTCACACACACAGACCTGATGCAAGTCTGACAGATGGCCAGAGGAAATTACGTCCGTGCCAAGCGCCCTGCATCCTAACTGCCCCTGCTCCCCTCTGCTATTACCACTAAATGAGTCATAGTGTTTTTCCCTGCATGCTTTGTGTAAAAGGTGACTGTATCACAGGGACTGTCAGCAGGAGCCGTCACAATGCAGCATGCCACGACGTCGTGGCACAGGGCCGTGTCAGAGTCTGGTCCAGGAGCTCGGGGCCTGCAGATAATACCTGTCATTTCATATTATGCATACAGTGTGACACAAAGTGTGAGGAGCTGCAGCAACCTGGCATGTGCAGTATATGGGAGTAGGTGTTGGGGTTTGCACGTGTTTTGGAAAGAGGATTTAGTGTGAGATTTGTTGTTTTGCTACATTCCAACAGAAACATTCTAATGAACATACTGTACAGAATTAAAAAACATTTCTGTCAACAACACCAATTTTTTGGGTGGGATGATAATGGTTGGGCGTACTCTCTGAGTTATATGTAATGCTGTCAAATGGCACTCTAAAGCATTTGTTTCCAGCATATTTGCACTTTGTGTTACATATTTATGAGATTTTATGGTCTGTGTTCTTTGTTATACTTTCCTGTCAGACAAATGTCTCCTTGGGGACAATAAAGGCCAGGAACTGAGGTAAATACCTTTTTACAAACCACGTTAAAGCCTCTTTTTTCATTAATAATAAATGTAACAAACTGTAGGTAACAAGATTGCAGAAGACGTGAACGTGGGAAGGGGGAACATAAGGGAACATGTGGTTTTATAATTCCAACTGCACAAATACCCAGTAGAGTGGATGCTGTCAATTCATTTAAGCTTACTTAGACTGTTGAAAAACCGATTACCAACAGAATTATCAAGACAATGTGTGGGAAGTGTTTATGACGCTAGCAGAAGGTTGTGCTGGTTACTTTTAACACATGAATCTGACCAATTATGTTGTTAATATTTTGAGCTGCAGTAGTTTGCATGTCTCTAATTCCAGTCATAGAAACGTATTACATCAATCACAAATGTATAAAATAGTATATAGCAGTACTGGCATATCCTTAGACATATCAGGTAGACAGACTTAACACAATAGTTGAAAGAGAAATGAAAATGAACAGCTGTTTTGGACAGAAATGACCCAAGTTGATTAAAAATGTCCGCCCATTGAAAGTGGCTGCCTCAGTGAAGGTTTGTCATGTGATAGATCACGCTTGTAAGCCTTAACCAAATAGTACATTTACATGTTATAGTCATGTCAGTTCAAAATGTCATGAATTCATAATTTGATCCTATTAGAGATTTGTGTGAAATTATCCTAATTAGCATATGACTTATTGAGTTATGGCCAAAAACCAGTTGGTGAAGTCCCAGTGGTGTTGATCTATTATCTATTTAGTGCCTTTGTAAGCTTAAGGTTATTGGAAGATGGGTTTTATATTAAGACATTTCCTTTCCAAGATATCATGTTTAAAAGAATGGGACGATAAATAATAAATAATTCAGAAAAATATGCATAACACCTAGCTTTTGGCACGAATATCTAAATCCACATGAGTTTTGATACAAACTAGAAAACTGCAACACTATGACTGGGAAGAGATGCAGATGTGTAACTGTAATTCTCACAGTGTTATCACGAGTGCAGTCAGTATGAGGGTGGTGGAGGGTTTAGTCTCCCACGTCTACTCACTGATCTCCAGCTGTCTCTGAATGCGTCCCTTGCAGCGCTCCCTGTAATCCGACTGGGTGGTGTTGTACTCTGACATCACCTCGACAAACTTACGAGACAGTGTGGAGTGCTGGAGACACAGCGAGGAACAACAGCATCACACACCGACTTAATAAGTACTTTGAATTGTAAATGAACCGATGAGCAGCAGGTGCAAACATACAATGACATTCAGTGTCAGTGTGTCCCTAATACATACTGTAGTACTATTCTGAGTCAGTCTTGTGTATATAGTGTGTTCCCACTGAAGTGACAACATTAATTAAACTCAAAGCAGTCAGTGGGCATGCTAAAAGGCGAGAGGAATATGGAGGAACTGCAGGTAAAAGTGAAACAGTTCCAAGCAGATGTTGGCGAGCAACAATAAGTGTAAAGTACGTTTAATTGAACTGTACCTGCGTCTTACGTATCCTCAGGTCAGCTGATGACTTGTTCTGACTTTCTTCTTGCTCAATGGAGTTTTGGATACCTGCAAAGATACAATCAAATGTGCATTCAACATCAGCGAGAGTGCTCTCTTTTCAAATGAACAAAAAGATGAAATAAAACATTATGACTGCAGTCTTGTTAGTTGTCTTTAGAGGTTCATTACACCAAACCAAATACAAGTGTTGTATGAAACAAACTGCACTGATGATTTTAGTGTCCTTAGAGTTTTAGGATTTAGGATTAGGATGAGATTAAAAACCAATTTTTAATCTAAAATAAGTAATAACTCTCAGTAAGTAATAAAAATCCTTAATTGTTTTTCAGATATCTTAGTATCTAGTTTGTAGTTATTTTATATATGCACATCAGATACAGATTAGCCTTGTTGGCAATACCTTTGGATGTCAGGCTCCCTCAACAAAATGTATGAAAAAAATACAACATATAAAAGTACGAATCTAAGAAAAAAGATGATACAGAAATGTAAATATATGGATACATTAAATACAAATATACCGTTTTCTTTTGTAGAAACTAACCAATTTCTAATTCAACACATGGCTGCTTGAACAGCACTTTCCTTACTGCTGCCTCACATTCACACCTCAGCAAGTAATTGAAGAGGAGCCACTGCCAGCATAATAGCGTACATTCAAGACTGTCAATGTGAGGCCATGTGAAGCAATCCTCAATTGAATGTGAATTATACAGAGATGTCATGCCTGCTCATTTACATTCCAATGTTACTATCATTTGAACTGGGAGGAGACGGCTGTACCAGCTCCTGCACATTTTCCATCATCAGACCCTTTGTGAGATGTGTACACCTGCAGCTCTGAGTGAACCTACTGTACGCCTCCCTGTCTGCAAACAGCCTGAGCATATAATATGTTAACTAACAATTCATATCCACATTGTTTAGTTTAACATAGCAATAAAGCAACAGCCTTCTTCTCGGACAATAATGAGCTTTGTCATAAATAATTGGGTTACTATTTTTTTTTTAGCATATTCATAAACTGCATTTGATTGTGTAAGTGCCTCCTCTCTGTACTATGAAAACAAAGTCAAATCTAAATTATTTGTAACATTGAAATGTTGCCAAAACATTTGTGGGAATTATTAAAGCCACCCGTTGATCTTGGTAACTCTGTGTCTTCATAGATTCAGGCTCATCTCACCTACAAAGTGTATTGAAACCCTACTGAAAATGTAGTTAGTTTGTACTCTCAACACACATTATAAGTAACAAGTACTTTTAGAAAAGTTTTAAATTCAAATTTTTCAATTGAAAAAGGAGCTTTGTACTCTTTTCTAGTAAAAAAAACTTCTGAAGCAATTTGAGGGTGTCCCTTTCGCTAATGTTTACATGTCTGAAACTACCCCAAAATGTAAATTAACTCACTGAATCCCTGACATAGATCGAAAGTGATCTCAAGGCAAAAGGTACAGTAAATGACGTGAGTCCCTCTTGAGGATCTATCCCAGGATGTAGTTACGCACGCACGCACGCACACTAAGGTAACCTGTGGCAACAACTGATGTGGAGTGGAGTGGAGCCTCTGACGGAGCGTCAGAGGCCTGTGATGCAGAGCCTGCTCTGATTGATAGCACTTGTGTGTACCACTGTACATGTATGAGCACATTAAACTGTGTGAGTGTGTTTATATATGGCTTTAGTCCCGCAGTAGGAGAGAAAGGGGCTATTATCTTCTAGCCCTTTCTCATCACGTTATGCTCTACTTCCCTGAAACATACTGTATACAGATCTTTTATCCCTGACCTCGATTCTTTGACAACTGAGCCTGTTAGGGAGGCACAGGAGAGAGTTTTAGGTAATGTAAAAAAAGGTTATGTGATTGACAGAAGCTTTGCTTTTGAATATGGTAAACTCTTGGTATATGCCAAAAGAAAAAGGAGAAAGAGAAACATGCGTCAGAATTGTAGGCACATACACACAACACTGTACACTATAAGTATGTCAAGGAGTAAGATCTCAGACCAGCTTCATCCATTAGGCCTGCACAAAGTATGTTCTCGTAACATTAGTGTGTTACGTTTGCACACCAGTGTGAACAAAAGTGTGTCCATGCATATGAACCACATCCACCACCTCTGAAGCAAGTCAGACTCTTCACTGAGTTTAACTGAGGTTGTATGCTAGCTGTCAGAAGCTACAGTTCCCTGTCTCTCTATTGTTACCCTTTGTGATTTCATTATGAAACACTCATGAAAGAAGTAGTTGATTAAGTTTCTGTCGATTAATTTTCAACTTTGGTGGTAGGAACCTCCCTATATCTATGTATTGTAAAATCATTTATATCTCACAAAGCATCTCTGTATGTACTAAGTTTTACTCTGCAAAATATAGCAGGAGACCCTCTTACATAACTTAGATATTAGATTACTCTAAAAAGTGATATACCACCTCTGGGTGAAAATTGAAGAAGAGATACTTAATCTATTTTGCCAAACGTCAAAGCTCCTGGTCTAAAATGAACTTGGGAAGAGTTATTGGGGAGTATTTTGAAGTAAAAATGTGTAACGAAGTCTGTATGGAGCTGGCTCACGCTGAGAAGTCCATATGCAACTCATTAACTACTGAACATACTATTTTACGTTAGCTTCAGCAATTGAAAACAGAATAATTATATATACTCACTCTTTAATTTGGAGCGTATTTTGTTGGCCAACTTCTTGATGTCTGCCATGAGATCCTCCAGCTCCGCCTTGGTTTCTGGGGAAAGAGGACAGAACAGAGAGAGGAGAGATTTGTGGATTTAACTAACTCACACAAACCAGCCATTTTCACCGAGGCAGAATCAATACTGCCACAAGAAATAACTCTAAATGTCACTCTGAACAGAGACTAACAGCAAATGATCAGCTTCAGTATATCTCTGCATGTCTTGTACTCCTTTGTGCTTTTTATTTAGAATACCAGCATCCTTCACTTCCACAGTCCACTGTCCTCTTTCCATCTAGGCCCACACCCTGGAGACATAATACAACTCATGTGGGTTGATGGGTACATGTGGGTGCTGACAAGTAAGATTTGCTATTTTAGTAAGTAGAGGAATTACTTAAATCACGACGGACTGCAGCACCACCTCGGCAACAACAGGATGCAAAAACGATTTCATAATAAGTAAAAACCTCAAATATAAACGCAGAGGCACGTCGCAGCAGCTCTATTTGGGGATTCTCTTTTTTTGGTCAGTGATTGTTTATCACAAACAACGTATCTTCCACGTTTGTGCACAGACAGTATAGACGGTTCTTCTCATCAGTGCGAGCTTCAAAAGGCAGCAGCTCTGAAAGATAGGGTGACTGTCACTTCACGCTGCCATGTTGCTTATGATGAACTGAAGTTTTCTTTTAATCTTTTCTCCCTTCTGTCGCTTATTACAGCTACAGCCAAACCAACAGTTTCATAATCATATTTCACAGACACTTCAGATTGTTACACATGGGGGATTTTACCGAAAACACATTTTTATCAGATTTTTTAGGTCATGCTAATTTGCAGTAAACCCATTTTATTAAATGAGGCTGGTCTTAAAGATTGTATTTTGTAATTGCATAGACAATTAGATCAGAGGATAGGAGATAATCTTATGTTTAGGTTTAGTAGGTCACTTTCATCCCTCTCATCCCTTTAGCCACCTCTATTAAGCATTCATACAGAGTGTGTCAACATTTGTTAAAGTTACAAGCCAATAAAAGAGCATTAAAGAACAACCTTTCTTATAAATACATATTTACATTAATGTAACACATTGGTAAAGTAAGTTGTTACCCATCTAGTTTTTACTACATAGAGTCTGGAAATAGAGAAGAACAAGAGAATATAGCTTTAACATACTCCCTCTCTCCCCCCTTTTACCCTGGAGCGCTGATAGCCATTTTAGTACATTAACAGTGAGAAAGTAATTTAAAATCTTAATGCCATAAAAAAAAATCTCCATATGTTAAATAACCCCAGGAAGACAGAAGTCATAAAAAATGGTCTACTCAATCTAACTATTAAATCAAACCAAAACTGCCTGAAGTACTTTTTTATAATGAGTTTGTTTTTGTGTGCTACCTGCTTCTTTAAAGCTGCATCAATCATAAAGATTAACAATAGACTGGAAGTAGCCCTAAACTGGAACAGAACACAAACATCTGCATCTCATAACAGACAAAACCTCAATGGATTATTTTATACATTGCGTAAGAAAAACTTAAATTGCTACTAGATGTTTAATGTTTATGAAATATTTGCAAACACTTTGTAATAAATAAGAAGTATCTCCTTATCAGAAAAGCATGTTTTGTCCTTTACAGCTGCACTAAATGAGACGGAATGCTCTTCATGGTATTTTAAAACACTGACAGACAATTAGTGGAGGATCCACTAATATAATAAGGCATCATTTTATGCACATTTAACACATACAGTGTATGTCTGATGAATCCTAATCAGCAGCTTACACCAAACGCTCACTGGGACAAATCATGTTAAAGGGATAGTGAAAATCCGCGAATTTTGGGTTTAACTTGTGTATTTTTATTAAAAATAAGCATAATAAACAATTTTTTTTAATTTCATGCGCCTAGTTTCATTTTATTTTCAATTTTACTGCGCCCTCTCAATGAAACGAAATACTTCGGGAATCGTCGGGAATCTTCGGGTGATGACGAGAGCCAACCTGATCTCATCAGAATGCGTGACTCCACCACGCAACCTTAACACCACATTGCGTGGTGGAGTCACGCATTCTGCTACATTTGCGTGTCGGCACCACGCAAAAAACCCCAATGTAAAGTGAATGAGGCTCTTTTGTCGTGGTGCACACACGCATTTATACAACGTCCCGCAGTGAGCTTTTATTCTATAAAACGTTTTTAAAATCTACTTTATAGCTTGTAGTAACTCACGGGAGGCTTCTTTTATTTTATTTGTATTCATAATAATTTGTATTTGTCGTCAGAATGTATTATGGTGCATTAGTTACGAATTTTTGTTCTCAAAAAACAGTGCATTGTGTGTAATACAACTGTGATTTTTATTAAATTAGTTAGTTTTTAAGGAAGGCCAGAGCTTCAGCTGTGTCAATAGATTGTTCCCTTTAGTTAACGTTATTTAAAAGATAATGATCATGTCCCCTTTATTGTATTACGAGCGTCCATTCCCATTGGATAACGGAGAATTTTACACCCGGAAGTGAGTATTCTCTTTACTGTCGATTGATTTTACAGTGATATCTGAACTACTCATCAACTCAAAAACACAAGATTATCCTTGTTAATTACACAACATTGATTGGTTTAAATTGTGTACAATGCTTTTGTATTTTTCCCCTTCGATTCGGAGAAACGAATATTTGTTCGGAGTTTTTGGATGGCAGAAGACACTACACTACCCAGAATCCTCAGCTATCGTTTGGGACTACACCATGTGCTTAGCTTGACAAACCCCGTGATCAGTCCCAAGCTCTGTGATTGGATGTTGGAGTGGCAGTGCGCGAAGTTTACACGGAGCGTCAAAAAGCACCTTGAAATGGAATGAAACCCATCGACGGCACACTATTCAAAACAGGAATCGAACGTGTCCTATCCCCCCACCCCCCCTTAGGTTGCAGGCTCCTCCAACAGTGCAACACAATAAAACAGATACACAGAAAAAATAGTGAAATAGTGCAATAAGAGTCTATATACAGATTGATTGGAATCTTTTTAAATTTTTATTTAACCTTTATTTAACCAGATAAAAGCATTGAGATACAATCTCATTTTCAATGCTGACCTGGCCAAGAAGTTAGCAACGTTACACATAACACATAACACACACACATATAAAAGAGAACATAACTAAGAAAACAAAAGACAAAAAAGCAGTCACTACATTGTGAATATGATATATTAGATAAATAATTTCTAAGTAGCAGCCAGATGAATGTTATGGATGTTGTTTCTAAGTTCAGGTGTTTCATAGTCTTATGGCCTGTGGGATGAAGCTGTCCCTGAGTCTGGTGGTTTTAGTCCGGATGCTGCGGTACCGCCTGCCAGACGGCAGCAGACAGAACAGTTTGTGGCTGGGGTGATGGGGGTCTTTTATAATCCTGAGGGCTTTCTTTAAGGTTAACGTGGTGTTTTTACTCCACTACATTTATTTTAGTTACTTTACAGATTTGGATTAATGATGTGAAATATAAACAACCCTTAAATCAGACTTTAGTTACACCTGAGTAAAATTCAGGGAAGGTGATTGTCAAGTGCCAACAATCAGGAGAGATATTTGATAGTTGGTGCTCGAGAAGACTAAACATGTATCTGCAGATCCGTATAAAGCATATTCATTACTCTTTATTCTCTAATCGTTCATTAAAGACTGCATATAATTGATATTTTGCACATCCCTTTCAAGATTTCAAGATTTTCAAAGGTTTATTGACATATCATATACACAACTACGGTGTAGTTATGCAATGAATGAAAAACTTGGGTCACAGGTTCCTCAACAGTGCATTACAAGACATCTATCAATATGTGTGTACCTCCACCATTAAACTGTCATATTCTGCACATTTCTTATACTATCTACATAAGAGTATAATTAATGTGTATAATATCAGTTAAAATAAATGCTTCAACATAGTTAACATTGCAGGAAAGTTGATTGTCAAGTTCCAAAACAAACCATGCAATATATTAGACGTTAAGCACTTTGTCAGGCTTAATATGTATCTGTAGATAGATACCCCCAACGCTTTTTTCTTATTTAAAAGAAGACCTTAGCCTAAAGTATTCTTTAATGTTTAAATAAAGCCTTATTAGTTTGTCTGTTTTGCACATCCTCCTATCAGGCACTAAACTGTTTTGTTGTAGATATTATTTACAGTATCTTCTTGATATTTTCTATTCTATATTTATATCATTGACCTTCTACTTTCCCACTATTTTGTATGTACTCTTAATATTTAAATGTTTTCATCAAATATAACACATTCAAAAGTGCTTTACAAAAATGAAAGACATTAAGAAAAATGCATTTTAAACAGTCATTAAAAAGCAACATAATCTTCCTGCATTGCAATTACTCCAAACGTGTAATAACGTGCTTTAACCAGTAGGAGGTGCGGGTTAAAAAACTGTCAAGTTTAAAGTGTTAACAAAATAAAATATATTGCTGTTTCTGGTTTAGTTTACGACGGATATATGTTGTTATTGTTTTGATATTTGTAACAAAAGCGATGGAAAAACCCCACAGTAACACAGAAAATATGGTCTTAACATGACCCAGCGGTCTAGTAGTTAATAAAAAACAATAATATCAAAACAGATTATTACTACTAACTTTATTGTGAAATTAAAACAGAACGGTAAAAGAATAGTTTCCGGTCTATTCTGATGCCCGATCTCTGTAGATAAATAAAGAACTACGATAGATGTGTAATATTTAATGCAGCCAAACCATTTATTACAATGCATTCATGTGATGACTTTCAAAGAGTAAAGCAAGCACTGCTGAATAAAGTATGATTTTATCTTTTACGAAACGTTTTTTTTTCATATGGAATGCAGTTGGAGGTCAACCAATCACAGAGCTTGAGGACTGATCACGGGGTTTGTCAAACAGAGCACATGGTGTAGTCCCAAACGATAGCTGAGGATTCTGGGTAGTGTAGTGTCTTCTGCCATCCAAAAACGCCGAACAAATATTCGTTTCTCCGAATCGAAGGGGAAAATACA